TAACAGCAGAGTGAGGAATGAGTGTTTCAGCTGGAGTGGTTTCCCCTCTCACAGTGAAGAGGTCTAATTGTTCCTGGAGTCAACAGGGAGTGTTATTCATCTCACTAAACAGCAGCGAGTTAGCGGTGAAGATGAGGTGAAATCATTGCTATGAAGATGAATCCTCCCTCCATCATCCTGACTGCTGGTGATCAGATTGGAGAGGAGGAGACGACGCAGTCAGAGGACCACTACAGGTCACCTGACAGTAGTGTGTCACTAGTGTGTTTATCAAGGTTGATCGTACTCACATTTAGTGGTGAAACAATGCAGCTCTTCATCCTCAATAGTGTTGTGTTGCTCCTGTGTCCCACTCTACACATGGTCAGTCTCACTTTATGAACTCATACTTTGCAGGCGAGTGAGAAATACATTTAAAATTTCAACAAATAATACTGTTACATAATGTGATGGTAGACTGTGGTTGTGTTCATGTATAATGCAGAAATATAATGTAAAGCTGCAGCTATGAAACACTTCAGTGAGGTAAAGGAACAAACACACACTGATATTTATGAAATATTGTCATGTTCTCATCTGGTTTTAAAGGCACCCTGTGAAAGCATCTTTAAATTACATCTCAGAGTATCTAAGATCCTGCACTGCATGTGCACGTTTGCTCATTTCTTCCTCACCTGCTATGTTCTTGGTGCGTTCCTGAAATAGCGTGAAGACAGTGCACTGTGTCGCTGCATGCTCCTGCACGACATACAGACACAACAAATGTTGCTCCACAGCATCACCAGTGTCCAAAACCTCCACAGAGTTCCTTTAATGTCAAAGGGCAAATTATAAGAAAAGGTTTAAATGTAAAAATGGAACTGAGGTATTAATATGTGGGGGAAAAATTAAGAAAATAACCTTTTATTGCTTTTTGTTCCTTTTCTCATCCATCTCCAATAAGAGAAAAGATTCACTTTAAAAGAAGATTCACTTACATTTTGTTTCAGTTTTATGATTTAAAAAAGGCTGATGCTTTTATGTATTTTATAATTCATGCATATTAAATGCGTAAATGTTGTGATCTGTCCACTTCTTCTATTTATTCCCAACAGAAAGATGCAAAACACATCACATACTGTGTGCAGAAAGTAACTAACTACATTTATTCATATACTATAGTAAGTATATTCTCTGTTTTACCTTACTTAACTACATTTATCTGACAGCTGCAGGTATTTTGCAGATGAAGTTTTTCTGTAAAGTTTTTGCCCCAAAAATATACAATTATCCTCAGTCTAGTAAAATGTTGTTCACATTATTGATGCATTAGTAATGATAATTAACCCCGTCCAAAATAGTCTCCAAACTGTGTAAGAGTTTACAAAAATGCAATGGAAGGAATAAAATTGGAAGCAGAACTGATAATTAATCTGACAAGAGATGAGTGACATGCAGCAAACCTCCACCAGCTCTAGAAGATGGAGAGAATTTGGCTGTAAAAATATAATTCAATTGTTTTATCACAACATATACAAAATATAAACAATCAGGTAAATGACAGCATTGCTGGAGACTGTGAATGCCAATCACTCACATATGTTTTGGTCATGTGTAAAACTACAAACATCCTGTGATGGGATTATTCCGATCCTTGAGAGAGTTTGAGTTCATGGATTGTGTACTTGGGGTTTACACCTGTGGACATTGTTTGTAAGAAGGACACTTATCTACTGGCATGCAAAAAGGCCGTTACTATGAACTGGTTGAATCGTGGTCCTCCAACAGGACAGTGGATGGACTTTGTAGAGGAACTATATTCCATAGAAAAAATGACCTTTGATCTGAGGGCTAAAGCAAGGATATGTGCAACACTGAGACAAACGGACAGACTATAAGAGAAATTAGTTATTAAGTTATTAGTTATTTAGTCAGCTCGTCGGTTTTGTTTTCTAAATTGGGCCACTTTGTGTCATGAGTACTTTTAAACTTGTGCACTTCCCACCAGGAACAATTATAATATTTAAAATATTTTCTGCATAAATGTGTCTGTTGTGTTGTGTTATTTAAATGAAAATGAGATTTTTTACAATTATGATAAAACTCTCAGTGTGTTTAGTCATAGCAACACCAACCTTGTGCGACTGAAATATCAGCTGACTCTGTGCAAACAAACCTGACTACAGCTTTACATTTCTACAGTGTTGTAAGTAATCATAAGTAAACCAATATTAGAAACATTAGAGCTTAATTTTTCTTAATGTAAATGATCTGAATTTTAACAGGTTAACATGTAGCCACAGTCACACTGTACTGCACATAGATAAATACACGCTAATGTAAAGTATTTAACAGTGAAGTCTTGACTGCTGCTTCACCATCAGATGAACAGAGAGGTTAAACGCTCCTCTCATCCTGACGGAGACAGAAGACCGTCACTGCTGAGGAGGAGGAGGAGGATGACGATGTTCAGCTCCTCTCACGTGTTAACCAGCTGCCACCTAGTGTCACATCGGAGACTCTTCTGGGATTCACTGACAGACGATCCATCTGCTCCTGATCGAACACACTCTGATGATCCAGCTCACCTCCTCACTGCTCCTTATACAGCTGTGGTTCAACCTGCAGCTAAGGGGAGGTTAGAGGAGTTAGAAGGAGAGAGAAGCAGGTAAAATATTTACACAACCCTGTAATGAATCCTTCTTTGTGAAGGTTATGACTTTCAAAACTGTACAAACATTGCAGACGGGCTTGTTGATTCTGATGTTTCTAATATTTAGTTGACCCTCACTGATATAAATGGGGTAATGCTAATAGATTATCAGATAATTTGTAATTGTTTCAATAATATTAATCCAGTTTTATATATTATTATGAAATTAGATGATGATGCATACTTTATTTTTGATGCTTTTACAAAAGTTACATTTTGAATGCGTAAACGTTAATTTTGCACAGTGGTATTACTACTTTTATTTAAAGATTCATCCCAGACATGCAGAAATCTCCTGCATGTTAAAATACGCCACGTAAAATGTTTAATATTTTTAGATTAGTAAATAGGGGTGCCTAGTGCCGGCAGCAGGTTCAATTCCAGCCCACAACCCCTTGCTGCATGTCGTCCCCTTTCTGTCACCCGCCTACACGCTTCAAAACTTCACTGTCAAAAAAGTACCTTTTTAAAAGTTTAACCTCTGGAAACAACACATCTCCTGCTTCTCTTAAAGTCTCAAGAAAAGTACGTACTGTTGCATGGAGTATTCACCCTCTTGGGACATACTACTTCGTCATGACATTGCAGCTTGAACTTTGACCCTCTTGCACATATATCGAGACATGTAGCTGCAGCCATATTCTGTTTGGAGGCGACACGACAAACCCCTACAAGCCACGCCCACCATCCCCATGATTATTTGAACCCTGCTACAACACCATGTTGTCGTGGATACATATGAGGCCATCTTTTCGTTGTGCAGGAACGTCTTCTTTCAGCATATTTCCAGCCAAACTGTCGAGACAAATTTGAGTGCAACATCTGTGCACTTATGCATTTAGGACTTTTTAGAACTTTTGTGCAATGTTATGACGTAGTACTATGTCCCTATTATGTGCATACTGAATGCAACAGTATGAACTTTGCACAGGCAGCTGCAGTATGTACTGAAAGTAAAAAGACAAAGTATGCAATTCAAACCGTTGCCTTTTCATGGCGTACTAAATAGTACAGTAGAATGGGTTTTGGAGCGCACAGTCAGTGTTTGTGACCTGGAGGCATCTTGTTTCATACTGGATGCTGATTGGCCTCAAAGTTGTTGTGATGTCATAAACTCTGTAGATGTGTCCAGGTGATAAAGTGAGGTCTCAGGTGAAACAGAGAAACTTTTCTCCTTCAGCAGTTGAAGTCAAAACAAACTCTGCAGAGTTCAAACATCACAGTGAGGGAACAAAAGAAAATTATATGGAGTTGAACTTTAAGTTAAATATCTGAGTATTTCTCCATCACATATAAACTGTGGATGTCTGTGATATATTCAGATGGTTTATCATGTTGAACGACTTGACTCAGACCAGCCTGACAGGTCTGAGCTGTCCTGATTCCTCTTTGAATAAAAGCCTAGACAGAACATGTTTGAGGGGAAATCTGCCTATATTACAATAGGGGGATGAGCTGAAGGTAAAAGGGCCTCCATGCCCGTCTGATGGTGCACTTGACAGTTGTTGCATGGAGGTGGAGGCACGGCCTGTTGAACAGAAGGTCGGCAGGCATCATAGATTTCAACGACAGGCTGACTCTCTGACAATCTGCAGCTGACAGACACACATTTCGCTCCGTTGCCAGTTCATACCGCAGCGTCCCGGCTCGCCTCAGCCTAAAGAGACTGGGGGAGGGGTCAAAGGTTATGGCTGGAAGAAGCAGCGGTGATGGGAGACTGTCACGGCCCAGTGATCACTGTGTAGCAAGCCGTGAGCCTGACATGCAGAGTGAACTCATTCTGTCCAGCCGGCACACTCATCTCAGGCTACTAAATTAGATCCATTGCCAATTCATGAAAGGCAGATGCCTGACAGCAGGCCTGTCAGATTCTCTGGGATATATGTATACCAGTGAGGCGTCTCACAGTCACGCTGCTCATAAATAGGCCTACATGTAAAGTCAGGTCAGACAAAGTCCTCAAATTGGCCCAGTGTCCCTCCACAAAGATTGTCATGGGAAAAAGATAATGGAAAGCAACTGAAATGGAGCTGATGGGTTTACACAGGAGACTCATGAGGGAGCACTGCGAAGGAAATATGTAAAAAGAAGTTAGGGTTTCTCATTCATTCTTCACCAGAGTGACTTTTTATATGTGTGTTTCTATTTTCCAGTTAAAATCAAAGTGTGATAAATAATGTTACATGTGTGCAGTGAAAGATAAAACATGTTTGGAGTGAATATAATGAATGTAAATGCACCTACAGTGGCGATGAGCGCTCAGTTAAAAGAAAACTACATTTCCCATAAATCCCCTCACACCGCGCATGCGTGGTTGCGTCATAACGACATGAACTGTTATGTTTTCAGTAGCAACCGTTATCCTGGACTGAATAAAGTCGTTTTGACAGGTAAGAAATGTTTGTAAAGTACGCCTTGAAATGTTTTAACGTGATTTATAAAGAATACGAAGTTACATATGTCTCTACTGTGATGGTAATTAGAAGAGTAAGCTAGTTAGGTGAGCTAACTAGCTAGCATAGCTAAATAACGTTAACGTACACTCACCGCCCGTTTGAGATTTGATTCAAATAACGAAGTTAAACCGCAACCAACACTAAACCTCATGATTTTTTTATTTCATACACAATTTTCCAGCATTTTCCAGAATCATATTATTAATCTAAGATTTTACTCTAAATCAGTGTAGAGGATGTGACGCCAGACTGCGTTTAAATTCTGGCAGCTTTTCTCTCTCATCGGCAGAGGTAACGTATATATGCGCAATCATATTTGGCTCAAAACACTGAAGAATCATGAAATGTCTAACTTCAGTTTGGCACATATCCAGCACAGCAAGCAGCGCGTTTTTGGGTAGAAAGTCAAATTTTAGGTCCATCTCGCTTCGTATTGCCTAGCTTTTCCAACAAGGCGATGACGGTGGCAGCAGGGGACACTTTCGCATTTAAACTTTGGATTTCACCAAAATGAAATGCTTTTGGAGTGACAGTTGTATGCCGATCACATACGAAGACCCAATGTGTTATTAAAAAGTCGTACGCCTTTCTCTGCTGTGTGTCTTTACATCTCTCACAGGGGCATTACTTTAAATTTACCAGATTTTCACATTGAGTTTGGCGTCACCATTTTTCCCGCAACCACAGATGGATTTATGTTAATTTAAAGCTATACACCGAGCTAGTGTTCAATTGCTCGAACTAAGGTGAGTATAAATAGTGTTTAATGAAGGCCCTTTCCATTTTCAGATTGAAACATGTCCACTCCACTTGATGAGACAGCAGCAGATGTGCCTGTCAGAGACCTCACAGTGAACCTGTCCCGACTCGCAGCAGGTATTTATATTGTTTATATGTTTTCAAAAAGAGAACTTATTAGAGAGGGTTAACTAGATTAATTTAGTTGTGAATTTATTGCTGAATTCTAAGCTGCAATATTGAGAAAATATTGCTGTACCTTCTTTGTGCTAAGTAGTAGTACCTGTAGGTAAAAGTATGTGCTGTAGAAACAGCCACTAGGTTGATACAATAATTGGTCCCACAGCATTTAACTCAAATTATATTCTTATGATTTCATGTGACTGATTGTTTGATTTGATTGATGAATGTGAGCCATGGCATGAATTTGCTTTAAATCAGGTTGAGGTCTTTTTTACATGATTGAAAATGTAAAAACAAATTATTTTTTTATAGTGACAGATTCATCTGCGTATCAAAATGCTCGGGCGCGACAGGACATCTCACGGGTGTCCAGGGAGGAGCTGGAGGACCGGTTCCTGCGCCTCCATGAGGAGCACCAGCTCCTCAAACAGCATGTTCACAAACAGGATGACAAGATCAAGAAGTGAGATACACACACTCACACTCACAGACTTATTGTGTCTGACAATGACCTCAGTCAGTTTCTAATCTGTCGCAGTGCTCCTGTTTAAGTTGTGTTTTTGTGTTCTGTTCTGTTTTGTTATTTTTATTTATTTGTAATTCTCTTCTTTCATGATTTGCTGAGTATTTTTGCATTTGGTATTTTCTTTTATTTATTGGAGCCTTTTTGGTTCGCTTTTATTGTGTTATGATTTGTACTGTTATTTTAAAATGTTGGCGGACCCCAGGAAGAATAGCTGCAGCCCTGCTGTAGCTAATGGGGACCCTAATAAACAATAATAACAATAATAAAAGAGTTGGACCAAAAATATCTATTTTCTATTCTGAATATTATCATCATAATATGAAATACAGTTCTAATGAAAGTGTTAGGACACATGCCAGGGATTTTATTACAATTTCCTTAGACTTAGACTTAGACTTGCTTTATTGTCATTCAACAAATACACCATCGGTGCACATATTAAATGAGATTTCGTTACTTTGGCTCATGAGTAGACGCATAAATTGTGTAACTTACAATAAAATAAAATATAAAACACTGGTATTCTTCCACATAAAATAAAAAATTCTGATTTTAAAACCATCATTTAGCGCCACAAGTTTGCATTTAAGAAAAGTTTGATGACCCTGATGCAGCCCACAAGCCAAAACAAGTTGGTCTCATAATAGAGTTGTTGTTTATTAGTTTAGACCTCTACAGATTATTTCCTCTCTCCATGTTGATTGGAAGTCTGTGCAGGAAGTCTTTGTTCTCCTGTAAGAAAAGTTTGGGGTATACATGCAGTAGTCAAAACTGCAATGTTGAATTGTTATTTTTGTAAATTATTATTATTTTGTACAGCCTTAAATCACATTTTGTTTGAATTATGGCAACAACTTACTATTATTTTCATTAGCGATTAAACTGAAAACTATATCCTCCATTAATAAGTTAACCTTTTGGTTTATGAATAGTCCATAGACAATGAAAAGTCTTGTCACATGACATCTTTGAATGGCTTGTTTTGTTTGACCAACAGTCCAAAACCCAAATGTATTCAATATACAATGATATGAAACAGGAATTGGCTGCAACTCATCACATTTAAATGGAATTTTTGCGCATTTTTGCTTTTGAAAAAGATTTCAGATCAGCAAAATACTTGCAGATTAATTTTATAACGATCAGGGATGTTCCTAAGGACTAATTTCCCTGTGAGTCAACAAGTCTAAACATTAAAAAATACTCAAACTGTCGAAATTGAGCACAATTTAAATTGTAAACAAATAAAACAAAAAATACTGAGGACATTATAAGAGTTTTCCATTTAAAGGAAAACTCTTAACTATCTATTGCTGCTCTTCCAAAAACACAGAATTCTACATCTCCCACAATGCAACTGTTTTTCATATCCCCTGTCATCAGATTATTATTATTATTATTATTATCTTTTAAACTTCACAACTCAAGCTTATAACACAGTCTGTATGTTATAACGTCTTGAGCCCAATCTGATAACCCTGATGACATCACTATGACATCATCAGGGTTATTCATTTTAACCTCCCTCCAGAGCCCCCGAGGACATGATGCAGCTGTTTCCACAGGCGGTAGAATGAACTGAACTTGTGTGGACTGTTTAACCTCCAGATGGTTACATAATTACCTTACGTTGTGATTACCCATCTCCCCCTCCTCCCTCCTTCAGGCTGGGCACTAAGCTGATGAGGCTGGTGAAGGACCGTGGTCGTATGGAGCAGCTGGCGGTGGGTGGAGGTCAGTCGGTGTCCAGGGTGCGGGATGTGGAAATGGAGGAGATGATGGAGGAGCTGCAGGACAAAGTCCGGAGTCTGCAGTCAGAGAACGAGGGATTAAAACAGCGCCTCCTTGTGGCCAAGCAGCAGCTCATCAACTCTCAGAGCAGGAGGCCGACGCCGTACGGTCGCGTCCAGTCACGAGTCAACACCGGGTTAAAGAAGCTGCGAGATGACGCTTCCTCTCCTTCTCAGACACGACCAAAAAGTACATCACAGACATTTATATGTGAAGTCTACAGCGTATAATACATAGTAATATTATAAATGTGCTGAGATTCTGATACACCCAACATGTTGTAGCAAATTTCAATTTATCGTGACAACTAAATAAAAATCAGTATCTAATGACCACATCAGTAGAAACTTCTTTAACACACATATGGTCAGACTGTAGTAAAATCCTCTCTGAACACACTATGTGGTTTTGTCTCCTGCAGGTACCCGCAGTTTGGAGGGAGGTGGGAGACCTCCGACCGGCCTCCTACCTCGATTTGGACACAGCCTGCTCGAGGACGCGAGGGCTGAGATCCGTAACCTGTGAGTCATCAGACACACCAGTGGAGTCCTACAGCATTTAAAACTTTACATCAGCAGGTTTAGATGAGCAGTGTGTAAAATTTTGGGGGGGGTTAGTGACTGCAACCAGCTGAAACTTGTCCTGGTTAGAATTCCTTCAGTGTTCATTGTTCAGGAGGTTTTTACCAGGAGCTGAGTTATCCACAGCGGTCTCTTCCTCCCCAGAACAAATGGACCAGGGGTCTCATTTATAAACACTGCGTACGCACAAAACAAGGCCTAAAAGAGGTGTACGCCACTTCCCACGCAAAAGTTGTGATCTATGAAACCAGACTTGATGAGAGAAACTTTGACATATGCTTACGAACATTTTGGAGACAGGAAATAGGCGATGCAGATGGTGAAGGGGAAGCCTGATTGTAGAAATTCTCAAATATTTTTTGGCGCACACCATTTCAGGTTTTGTCTGTACATGCAAATTTGGTATCGATCCTACGCAGTCTTTTATAAACACTGAAATAAGCAGTTTCATGTTACAAATCAGTGTTTCATCAATGCTTCTTGTTGTGGAGGTGCTGCTAACTAAGGTGGATGATGTAAAAACTCGAATGGCCCTATTTAGAGCAAGGGTTTGGTTTGTCCGTTCTGGGCTACTGTAGAAACATGGTGGTACAACACGGCATGTTCCATGTTGCTGGAAACCACAGAGAATAACATTAACTTTACTGTTCATGATCAAGAAATCACTCCATTCTGTCGGCTAGCTGTATGATATAAAATAAGATACCAGTACCCTTAAAGAGACATCAATACCAACAGAGTCCTTTATTTGATACCCTTTTTTTACCCATCGTGCAAATAGAAGCATTCAGTTTTGTAAAATGACCACAGACGCCACAAGTCTGTAATATAGTCATACTTTTGAACATTTTGGTGGCATCTTTACGTTGCTGAGCTTCCAACTCTGTCAAATACACCAGGCTCAACTTCCCCACACCGCAGACTGTATGGGTTGTAGCTGCTGTGGCAGAGGGCCAGTTGCAGTATTTGTTTGGCTTTGCTCTCAGCCAATCACCTCAAGTGTTCTTTGCAATAAATCAAAGAACACTTGAGGTGATTGGCTGAGAGCAAAGTCAAACAAATAGTATTTTTTTCTAGATCTGGGTACAAAAAAGATCAAATATGGGTATCATTTGACTGGAGAAGTCTTGATACTATTTAGTATGGGGTTAATTCAGTTGATACCTTGAAAGTATCAAGTACTGATACCCAGCTCTACCGCTCGTTAAACCATAAAGGCACATTTTCTATTTCTGCATGTCTGACATACAGAGTGTAAAGTGTGTGTGACTCCACTGAGAATACTGAGTGTTGAAAATAAAGAGTGTTTTAACTAACCACTTCTGTCATTTACAACTGTGTGTAGGACAAAACAAGACCTTTTGTTCTGGTGTCTTACAGGCAGGTTTTTACTCATGACTGCAGACTGTATTACATTTACCATATTTGTAGTGAGATAAATTACCTGAAGCAAACCAATCATTTTTGTCTGCACGCCAGAGAGAATGTGATCGAGCTCCAGCGCAGCCACTTGGAGGAGATGGAGGGAGTGTCGGAGCAGCTGAGGGAGGAGCTGAGGAGGAAGGAAGCAGAATATGAGGAGAGACTTCTGCAGGTCCGACAGCAGCAAACCTCCAAACTGAGGTAAAGCGTTACACTGTGATGGGGTGGACTTACTGACCCAGTGAAAGCTAATATGTGGTGGTGTGATACTTCACACTGTTTCCAACAGGAATAAAATGTTTCAACACTCGATGAAAGTTTGAGAACATTCGTGTTCATGAACCATTCTGGAAGAAACACAAAAACCATAATTCAGTTCAGTTCAGTAGTTTATCTGTGAGTCTACAGCTTGTCACAAACACTGTTTGACCAGAACTATTGATTGTCTTTGTATGGATGTTCCCGTCACACCAGACAGAATGGAAGTCTGCACCTGTATCTGTGTCTGTACACAAATGTCTCAGGGTTTCAACACTTGTGTGTTGTGTTTCTCTGTCAGGTCACACATCAACAGCAATGTGACAATGATCAAACTGCAGAAGCAGCTGGCTGACAGGTCCAACAGCGTCACAGAGCTGGAGGGACGATTTCTACAGCTGCAGGAGGTGAGAAGCTTTTACAGCTCAAGTCCTGCAGCAACATCGACAAGACAAACACTGAAATCCAAGTACGATAAATCAATACTCTGTGAGGAGCAGTCTTCATCTATTGCAATGGTTCCTACTGAAGATCTTTAAACACAAATCTATAGTTTAATCAGTGATGTCCTGAAAAACCCGGATGAATCCACATTTAGGATAGAATAATAGAATAGAATAGACATGTTTAAAAGAAACGAACAAGCTTTGGTTAGAAAAAATAAAAAAATAAAAATAAAGATATAATAAGAAATAAAAAATGAAAGACATGAATAATCAAGTTGCGTAAAGTAAAGGTCAGCCATTCAGCAAGTCACAAAGACAAACCAAAGAAAACAAGGAAAAAAACAAAAAACTATCAAACAAAGAAATACAACCCGGAAACATATTTGCATATTTCACGTCTGAGAAGGAGCAGGAAGGAAGTGTGAACTTATCTAATCCTACCCCTTTTTTCTTTCTATATTTTATCTTTAAACTTCATGTTGAACCTAAATACTTCATGTTGAACCATTTGGTGCTCTAGTGACTGCAGGATGGTATATAGCCTCGTTTCCACCGAGCAGTACGGTTCAGTTCAGTTTGATGCGCTTTTTTTTCTGTTTCCACTGTGAAAAGTTGTGGATGGTACAAACAGAACCGTTCTCTGTTGGGGTACCTAGCACACAGATCTGGTACTAAAAGGTGGAGCTGTGAACACTGCAGTCTGATTGGTCAGTAGAGGACGGTCACTCTGCTCAGGGCTGAGTTGTGGCTGGTTTTGAGGCTCATGTAACCACTGTTCATACTGTGGAGAGTTTTATTGGTAAACTGTAACTCTAAAATGAAAGGATGTTTTGCTGCCTCTCACAGCAGCTGGAGTCTGAGAAAAAATAACCTCATTCACTGGGCCAACTGCTGGCAACTTTTAAGGTAGAACATTAACTTGTAATGTTACTCAGTGCATGAGTTGACGATGTGAATCCATCGGCATACCTTAAATGTCACTGTGATAACTTTGACCATTACTTTAGTTGGGTTTTTGTCTCTTGGATGAGACAGACGTTTAAAAATATATATTAATTTTGACTGGATTATGTGAACTGCATAAATTCTAAAACTCACTTGGAGAAAAAAAAAAGCATTGTGGAGCATCATTCCTGTGGGCTACAGCAACACTAAACCCCTGAGATTGCCTGAGAAGGACTAAATGCACAAACCTGCTATTTCTAAATATCCCATGGAGAGAGACTCTCACTACAGCCTGTTCTATTTTGCAGCCTCGTTCTGTGGACGATAAACGAGGTGTAGACATTACACAGTGAGTGCTGGACGGAGCAGTGAGTGACAACAACCCCGCCCACATTTAAGAGTACTGTTTGTAGTGGAAATGCTAGGGTCTAGGTACCATGTCTGAAGAGTTATTTTAGGTTCCAAAGGTATTATACCGAAATTGATGGTTGAGACGGGGCTTATGTGGGATTGAGTCAAAAATAAACTACAGTGTGTGTGTTATAGTAGGCTGTAGATACACACTGTATATGTTTTTTGATACGCTGACATGAAAAACACAGAATATCAGCGGACTTGTACTTTGAAACACGCTGTCCACAGAGTTTTTCTCTGACGTGTTAATTTGTGTGTTTCAGAGTCAGAGGACGCTGAAGGTGAGTCATGATGCAGCGATGCTGAAGGTGGACGAGCTGTCGGCTCAGCTCAAAGATGAGAGGCTGAAGAGTTTGGACCTGGAGAAACAGCTGCAGACATCCGCCATATCCAGGCTGAACATGGAGCAGGTGACCGCCACAGATGTGTATTTCCATTGCTGGTTTGGTCTTAAATTTCATATAAGGTGGTTTTAAAAAGGTCTTCAAAGGTCTTAAATTTAACGTGGTTGTATCTGTAGACACCCTGTGATCAGGTACGTTTCTGCTTTGATCAGACTGACTGAATTTAAAATACAAAGTGTCAACAAAATCACATAAATAAAGCTTTATTTTCTCAGAGTTTGTCAGAAACGGTCCGTACCTTTAAGGCAGAGATGATAACACTTCAGTGATGTAAATGGCTGGACTGAGACGAACCTCAGGACTCATCTGTTGTTTCCCTCTCATGTGTTGTGCAGCTGCAGGAGAGGATCAGTGAGTTGGAGCAGGAGAGAGACCTGCTGAAGGACAACAACGAAAAACTGGTCAACAGGTGAGAAGCTTCAGATCTCCTCTGATGGGTCATTTCAGGGAGAGAGTTCAAACACCTGGTTATCATCCACATGCCAACGTCCCACTGCTTCCAACACAGATAATCTGATCCAACCAGTCATACTTTTTGTCCTTCATTTTAAAACATTTTTAGCTGACATGCCACCATATTTTCCTGCGATGAATCATTAGTGTATCTGTGTGTGTGTGCAGTGCGTTCGATGTGTCTCGACAGCAGAAGTGGCAGATCCAGGAGCAGCAGCTGAAGCTACAGATCGCTCAGCTGGAGACGGCGCTGAAGGCTGACCTAGTCGACAAAAACGAAATCCTCGACAAAATCAAGGCTGAGAGAGGTGCTGCTACTGCTCATAGCTTTATATTATAACTGCTCTGCATGATGATTACTGAATACACTCACTGTGTTTCTGTGCAGGTCGTGAAAGTCCAGGAGAGTCAACAAAACTGATCATAATTTTCTTTTTGATAATTTATAACTGGACTTTTGTCTGATCTGACCAGAATATTAAAAGTGAGTTTAACCCATGATTTAATCGACATGATTGATTTTTCAGACTCAAATGAGAAGCTGACAGAAGAAAATAAGAAACTTCAGCTCCAGTTTCTGGAACAGAAGCAGCAGCTGGAGGAACTCAATGATCGTTTAAAATTCTACAGCAGGGTAAGATTGTAAAATTAATAATAATATTAAAAATGAAATGTACCATTTAGTTCTTCTGCATCTAAAGATTTTATTGTCTTTTGTTAAAGGAGAACGAGTACGACGTAGCTGAACTCACAGAGGCGCTGCTGCTCATTAAGGTCAGAACTTTTAAATATACACAGTATGACACTGATCACTGTGAGTTAATGAGTGAATTAAATTCAAATGACTCCTGTACTGAGTAATAAATCTATAGGAGGTTGATGGTGACAGGTTTATGTTATGGTTGTGTTCATACCTTCATGATGAACCTGCTTCTTCCCACCACATCTCCCTCCCGACTATACACTTTAAATTTTGTCTCCTTCTCCTCAGGAGCGTAAATCCCAGAGGAGTGGAGATCTGGGCTTCCTGAAGGAGGAGCAGGAGGGAGGCGGCAGCAGCTCAGAGAGCGCCATCCAAGAGCTGCGAGCTGCTCACGCTGAAACCATCCAGGAGCTGGAGAAGACCAGAAACCTCCTCAGCGTGGAGAGCAACATCTGCAAAGACTACAAGGTCACCTGCACAACTACACTCTTTATACTTTATTTTTTGCTATCCTTTATCATCATCATCTTTTTTTGATGGTGAGGTGAGTGGATAATCAGGCAGGTTTATCCACAACACTTACAGTTAGAACTGACCCACAGACATCAGCAGATTTCTGCTTGTCCTGGCTGAGGCCAAAACACACCAGCAGCAAACGCCGCACGTCAAAATATAATTCGTAAAAGTGTGTTCTCGTAGAGAGTTTTAAGACCCTGACCAACTAATCACATCACCTGTGGTTCAAGTCCTGCTTCTGGCTTTTGTTGCATGTCGCTCTCTCCCCTGATTTCCTGTCAACTCTCTACTGTACATTATCCAGTAGAGGCACAAAATAACAACATGGTAATCTATGTGTCCTTCAACATGTGAATAAAACTGTCGATGATAAGAATGTCTCCTTATAAAGTGTAGATGCTCAGTGTGTTGTGACTCTGTCCTCTTGGCGATGAAGGCGGAGCTGGATGCTGTGAAGAAGAAGATGGACAGTAACAGAGTGGAGAGTGAGCAGCAGCTGGAACGACAGGCCGCTCTGCTCGACACGAGAGCCGCCAAGATCAAGAAACTGGAAGGTTTTTATTCATCAAACAAATCTTCCTCCTCATGTTTGTTATGTTGAAAAAATTGACCAAACTCTCAAAGACTTAAACTGAAGACATTACCTCTGTATTTTTATTTTTATTTATTAGTTTTGACAGTTAGTAAAGTGTTTTTTCACACCTGTTTTTTAGTTTAGTTTTGCGTCTATATAATAACCTTGACACACACATGACTCTGTAATTAAAGAAACTGTCTTTGAGTTTTGATGTGTAACTGTCCAGTGACAGGTTGTATTGTGAAGTCTTTGTTGGTGCCTCAGCTCTGATCATCTCTGAACTCAAACTCTCTGTCCTCCCCGCTGCTCCTCAGCTCAGCTCAGAGACATCGCCTACGGCACCAAAACCTACGTCTTCAAACCGGACATGACAGACGAAGATGAGGCAGATGAGTTTAATGAAACTCTTGACCTGGAGCGTGGAGAGAACCTTCTGGAGCTTCAGATAGTCAGTGCCACACTCTCTCCATCCACCCTGGAGGCTCTGGGTGACGTTGAACCCTCCACCTTCTGTACATACTCCTTCTATTTGTTTGAGCTGCACTCCACTCCGGTGGTGACAGGCCAGAGACCCAAATATGGCTTTACCTCTAAGTACGTGGTGAGCATGGACGAGCAGTTCCTGGAGTATCTGCACAGACAGTCTGTGACTGTGGAGCTACATCAGGCTCTGGGGTTAGACTGGAGGACGCTGGCCACCGGGCAGCTCCGTCTGCAGCCGCTGCTGGAGCAGGACGGAAAAGTTCATGGCACCATGCCACTGGTCGGTGAGTAGGACAAGATCAAACTTACAATCCCTGTGCAGGAAGTGATAGAATATTAAAAAAACATAATACAAACTGAAAGAGTCACACAGACAGTCTGCAGAAGTGTTTTGTAAAGAGTATTTTCCTCCTGGAGTCTAAAGAGGCATGGTTAGCTGCACAGGGATCTGCAGGTCCAGATCCTCAGATCCACTGTGTCAAAACATTTTGTCTTTTGTGACCTTGAGGCTCTAAACATTCATCTGCTCCTGTGTGGCTGTGTGAAGTTTTACTCTTGAGTGCTTCTCCATAAAAACAAACCAAAACACATTCTCTACAAAAATCAGGACAATCCTTACTTTTAGATTTTTTTATTATTTTTTATGCCGCAAACAACTAATGATTCCACAAAGTCGTCATAATAATAATCAAACTTAATTTATGTAGGACATGTTATATAAAAAAGGCAACACAATTTGCTTCACAGTGGCTGAAAAAAAAACAAAACACGTAAAAAGACTGTCTGTTTTTAATGTTCTAATTTCTTTCATCAAAGAAAGAAAAAAAGATTCACAAGCAAATAAAGTTAACAGTAAATAAACCAGAATAAATTTTGTGGATGAAGTTAAAATATTTTAAAAACCTTTATAGTTAAAGGAACAGTGTGTAAGATTTAGAGGGATATAGTGGCATCTAGTGGTGAGGATTGCAGACTGCAACCAGCTGAAACTTCTCCTGGTTATAATTCCTTCAGTGTTCATTGTTCAGGAGGTTTTAACCAGGAGCTGGATTTTCCACAGAGGTCTCTTCCTCTTCAAAACAAACAGACCAGGTGATTTAAATCAGTAAAAATACTGTATAAAGCAGTTTCACCATAAAAAGTTTGTGTTTCTCTGACACTGATTGGCATGTCGAAGATGGGCGGCTCGCCCAGCAGCTGCTATTATGAGCTCTCCTGTTTTTTTTCTGATAACTTAAGATCCAGATTTTCAGGAGGTTTTTACCAAGAGCTAAATTATCCACAGAGATCTCTTCCTCTCCAAAATAAACGCAACAGGGTTCTCATTTAGTAGGATCCCTACTAAAAATGTACATACGGACAAAAGCCGAAAAATTATGTTTGCCAAAAAATATTCAGTTTATACAATCAGGCTTCCACCTCACCATCTGTTTCGCCAATTTTCTTTCTCCACTACGTTCATAAGCATGGGTCAAAGCCTCTCCCATCAAGTCTGTTTTTATACATCACAAGTTTTGTGTGGGAAGTGGCTTACGCCTCTTTTAGGCCTCGTTTTGTGAGTACGCTGTGTTTATAAATAAGACCCCAGGTGATTTAAACCAGTAAAAACAATGATTGAAGCAGTTTCACGCTACAAAATCCCTATGTAGAGATAAAGAGTTCATTCTGAGGTAAAGAAAGCATAATGGTTTCTTAACTTCAGGTGATTATATACTAAAGAAAACATACTTAATATATTATATTCTATTTCTGACAATATATCCCCATAAAGCCTACACACCGGACCTTAAAACAGTTTTCTTTTTAAAGTTTGTAATAGAGCTTCACAATCTCAGATGCACAACAAAACAAACAAAGAAAATATGAATCATAGCAGAGTGTTTAAAACAGGTCTGGAGGTGAACTGACCTGATCACAGACCTCTGCAGCTGTTATTAAAAACATGTCTGCATGTGTTTGTCAGGTACGTGTGATGACGCTCGGTCCTTTGGCTCTGTGGATTACTGGGTGAGGCTGAGGGTCCCGATGACAGAGACCATCCGCCTGTTTAAAGAGAAGGTGAAGGCTGTGGGCTACATCAGCACTGCTCTGAGCCAAGACGCACAGGTACCTGTGGGAAGAGGAAAACTACACCTTATTACAGCCTGTTTTTTTTTTTCTTTATGTACTCTCCAAAGCAAGTTGCAGTGAACACGAGCAGTCACGTGATCAGACAGTTAACAAACCAACAGTTCAGTCACATGATCGCAAAACTGAGAATCTTCATTTCACAGAGGAACTGAGTGAACATGAAAACAATAAGTCCAGCAGGTCAGAGATGAACCTTATGGATGTTTTGAACTGTCAGTTTCCGTCTTTGTTTTCTCTCCCAGATCAGTTTGACTGAGCTGAGAGTCTGTTTACAACCTCTCATCGTGTTTCCAGACTCATCACACTTATTTTTAGCAGTTTGTTTGGTCTGTAGAATATTTTAAAACTGATGGTCTGAGCTACAAAAATAAAACCCATGTTGTAACAGACTGTAGTTTTGCTTTAATCCTCTGACTTTCTTTTCTAAAACAACACAGATTGACTGCAGGTTTGTGCGGAATGACGTAACCTTTGGTTTCTGCCCCTCAGCTGCAGACAGCCGGCGGCGACTGGAACGAACTCTCCATCACAGTTGGACACTGCAGAGACCTGAAGAAGTCCAGAGGTTCCCAGCAGCCGAGCCCCTACGTGGTCTACAAGTTCTTTGACTTCCCCGACTACCCGACCACCACTGTCCATGACTGCTGCGACCCCGTTCTCAACGACCTCAAGTCCTACTGCGTCTCGATGGATACGGATCTGGACCAGTACCTGAAGTCTGAGGTGCTTCTGTTCTACGTGTTTGACTACAAAGAGGAGCAGATGGATGCGTACATGGGGAAGGCCAGAGTGCCTCTGCTGTCACTGGCCAAGGACCAGCCCGTCACTGGTGAGCATCGACTGGGTCTGTGTCCCTCTGCTGGGACCTCAGTGTCACAGCTGCTCTTGGGACAGATGCATAAAGGATGTGTACGCACAAAAACATGCGTACGCCTCTTCCTACACATTAACTGGTATTTATAAAGGACGAATATAAACACCTCACACATTCTTCAGAGCAGGCGTACACATGGTTTACATGGAGATATCTTCAGCTGATGATGAGGAGGAGATTGAATATAAGTTGAGAGACAGATAACATTGTTTTTAGATTGTTTGCCAATTTCACTGATTGTTTTATTATTTTTTGTTAAACAGCGATCTATTAAATGTCAATAAACTGTCCCTTCAACACCACAAAGCCCAAACAAGAACTACTTAAAAAACATCCTCTTTGATACAGTTTGAAGTTTAGACTAGGGATAGACCGATATGGATTTTTTAGGGCCGATGCCGATTTTTTTCCATCACCCTTAGCCGATGACCGATTATGGACAGCCGATTTTCTTGAGCTGATATTTGGGGCCGATACTGCTTTTGCTCCCTCAATTTACATCAAAAAAATGACACAATGATAACAAATATTACAGGTCTCAAGTTTAAAATAAGAAACATTTATTGAACAGTAAAAAATACTAAAACAAGATGGAAAGTTGAGGTAGAACAGGTAGAATATTATTATTATTATTATTATACATTCAAATAAAAAAAAAGAGTTCAGTGCTCTTAAATCTTCCAGTAATGTCTTTATAAAATAAACAAATATTTAAGCTGAAGCATAAATAAAACAACAACTACTGTACACAGTAGGATTCGCTGCATGTGCACTGCAGGGTCTTCCGGCAACACAGAGCTGCCCATGGATGCCTGTCTGTAAATCATGCCAGGGAAAAATAAATCCGCGAACCCACGCGCGTATCAGCCGATGCCGATACAAGTAAAAAACTCAAATATCGGCCCGATATATCGGCCGGCCGATGTATCGGTCTATCCTTAGTTTAGACAAATATTTCAGTGAAGAACTGTTAAAAGTAGTAAGTAAAATAAAAGTGGAGTTTTGAGCAACTTCTCCACTCTGTTTTCTTACAAAGATCGGTCCTGTTGTTTGTCTCTCAGGTGTGTTTGAGCTGACCGATCCCTCTGGACTCCCCGCCGGACACATTGAAGTGACGCTGAAGTGGAAGTTCACGTACGTCCCTCCATCAGGCTCCATCATGACTGTTAAAGAGTTAATCCCAACAGAGACAGAAATCAAACCAGAGCAGGACCAACACAGAGTGGAGGACGAGAGGAAAGAGAAAGATGTTGATGAGACACTGCAGGAGGAAGACAAACACCGTCCTCATCAGCCCGTCTCGCTTCCTAAGGTCGCTACGTCGAAGGTATATAGGTGTATACATTTATAACAGTGGAAACACAAGTGATGAGATTTATTTGTTCTCAGTGTGAAATACTGCTTTCTGGATGATTTCAGGAAATGTTAATATTGACCTTAAAAGGTGTTTCCGACGAACTTTGTTCCATTAATCTGAGTGTTTTCCTCCCATCAGGCTCCGCTGCCAAAACTCAGACAGAGGACGCACCTAAAGGACGGACTGACGGCCAAAAAGGTCACATTCATAGATCCCTCAGCTGCACATGACCAGGTGAGATTTTAACTTCAGTTACTGCGAAACATTTGGTCCTATTTTATGTGTTTTGTTTCTAGAACAGTGATGAGCCAGAGTTATAGTGTCTCTCCAGTGTCTCTTGCAGTTTTCAAAACAAATATAAGTGGAAATATTTTTCATCCGTTATAAAGTGGTTAAATGTTTCTGTCCTTTTGTCTTGTGTCAGGTTGAGGATAGCGGCTCAGCAGGTGTGTCTGCAGAGACACACCTGCCTGCAGAGAGAAGAGACACATTATTACCTGCTGTAAAGGTAAACTCACAGAGTCTGATTGGACTGCTGTCAAACCAAATGCTTCTTCGCTTCACCTAAAAAGCATACAGTAATAACAAAGAAAAAAATACATAACAAAGTGTATCTGTTTGAGGTGTTACATCATTCACCTTTAGAGCAGTGATTTCCAAGTAGTCCCGTCACGGGGACCGGGTGATTAAAAAAATTAATGTCTGGCAAATTAGGGAAACTACACATAGTCATGCCTGGCTGCATCTGCCACCAATATATCCGGAATTTCCCTGGGTACATTTTTTAAAAACTGTTAACATAAAGTTCCCAAACAAACCATTGTTGTCTAACGAAGGCCAACATAAAGCCCATAAACAAGTCAGCCTACTCATGGTGCACGTCAGCCCTCTCACTCATCATCAGCCCCATGACAACCTGCGCTGGGACAATGATATTCTTCAGTCCCATCACAAGTCACCACAGAGCCAACATATTTGTTATAGTCCCTCAATTCTTGGTGTCATAGATTCAACAAGGTGCTGGAAACATTCCTCAGAGATTTCTGTCCATATTGACATGATGACATCACACAGTTGCTGCAGATTTGTCGGCTGCACATCCATGATGTGAATCTCCCGTTCCACCACATCCCAAAGGTGCTCTATTGGACTGAGGTCTGGTGACTGTGGAGGCCATTGGAGTACAGTGAACTCATTGTCATGTTTGAGATGATTTGAGCTTTGTGACATGGTGTGTTATCCTGCTGGAAGTAGCCATCAGAAGATGGGTACACTGTGGTCATAAAGGGATGGACACGGTCAGCAACAATACTCAGGTAGGCTGTGGTGTTTAAACCATGCTCAGTTGGTACTAGGAAAATCTCCCCCACACCATTACACCACCAGCAGCATCCTGAACCATTGACACAAGGCAGGATGGATCCATGCTTTCATGTTGTTTACACCAAATTCTGACCCTACCATCTGAATGTGGCAGCAGAAATCCAGACTCATCAGACCAGGCAACATTTTTCCAATCTTCTATTGTCCAGTTTTGGTGAGCCTGTGTGAAATGTAGCCTCAGTTTCCTGTTGTTAGCTGACAGGAGTGGCACCTGGTGTGGTCTTCTGCTGATGTAGCCCATCTGCTTCAAGGTTGGACGTGTTGTTGGTTCAGAGATGGTCTTCTGCAGACCTTGGTTGTAACCAGTGGTTATTTGAGTTACTGTTCCCTTTCTGTCATCTTGAACCAGTCTGGCCATTCTCCTCTGACCTCTGGCATCAACAAGGCATTTTCACCCAGAGAACTGCCGCTCACTGGATATTTTCTCTTTTTGGGTCCATCCTCTGTAAACCCTACAGATGGTTGTGTGTGAAAAATCCCAGTAGATCAGCAGTCTCTGAAATACTCAGACCAGCCCGTCTGGCACCAACAACCATGCCACGTTCAAAGTCACTTAAATCACCTTTCTTCCCCATTCTGATGCTCAGTTTGAATTTCAGCAGGTTGTCCTCACCATGTCTACATGCCTAAATGCATTGAGTTGCTGCCACCTGGCTGATTAGCTATTTGTGTTAACAAGCAGTTACCTAACAGGTGTACCTAATGAAGTGTCTGGTTAGTGTATGTCCCTATGCTTTGAACAATTAATACTTTTATTGTGAATTAAAAGTAACATCACTTGGGTAATGCTGCTCAAAACCATTTTTACCTAGAAACCCACTCAGTCTGGCCACACTAATTGAGCCTGTTGTGGTAATTTTAAATTCCCAAATTATTAAATCAGAGTTTCACTCCACTCATCTGAAGAATAATCTAATTTTCTTTATAGCAGATGTGTAATAAATCAGTCACCTGTGACTTTGGGCCTTTTTCCAACATCACGTTTTGTGTTTGCAGGTCGTGACAGAGGCGACTCCAGCTGCTCAGCGCACCGCAAGGGAAGAGGATGATGAAGAAGAGTCTCACGTCTCCGAAGGTCAGCTGGTCCCAGCCAGCTCTCAGTCCTACTCCGACGACTCTGAAATCTCCGAGGAAATTCTCCAAGGTGAGGAGATATTGATTAACTGAATCACTGTATGATCGATTACAACTGACAGTTAGTTTCCTTGTGTTAAATCCGTCTGGGTTTAATAAAACTGAATATAATACTGTTAAATAATGAATGTTGGTGTTGTGGTGTGGACTCCACCGAAGTTTCCTGCTTCCCTATTCAAGTCTCTGTTTACAGAACACTGTATGATACTTGTTGTATTTGGATTTACACACAGTGGAGAGAAAACAAGTGCTGTTTTAAATCGAGGGTCAGACTCCAACATCGTCTCCCCAAACTCTCTCTGTCTTAAAGCTGCAAATGTTTTTGTTTTCCTGAGCAGAACAGACATTAATATTGAATGTGGCTGACAGTAATCTTTAGAGCAGCCTTCATAAATGTTAACGACAGCCCTCTGAGAGACAGCCAAAGTCTCACTCACCTTACGGAACATCTGTAAACATCCTGATGCCAAACACAGTTTAGGAAAATGATGCGTTCAGATCTTTTTTATTTCCTTCTTAAAGAGACGCTCCAGTCAGTCTGCTTCTGTTGTTCCGGTGATTGATCTGCTTCCTGTCTTAACCCGTGCAGATGTTGAGGAGGCCTCAGCAGCCAGAGAGGATCAGAGTGAATCGACTCAGTCCGACAGCGATGACTGCATTGTTCACGGGCAGACCGCGGGGAGGAAGGTCAGTGTTTACCTGTGCAGGGGTGGAACAGAAGGAAGAAGGGTTGTTGTTGATCTCCAGCGCTGGAAACAAAAAAAACACGGCTGAACTCGTGTTTTCATTGTGAAGGTGTTTTGTTTTTGTTGAGGTTCACTTCGATTTTTTAGTCTGCGTACAAGCAGAAGGTTGTTTCTGAATCTGAGTTTACACCACAAACTTTTAACTGAAGTCAGCCTGCTGTCATTATACACAAGACGCATAATCAACAACATAAACGACTGCAAATGTAAATTATTTCCATCATCAAATAACCTGCTAGTTATCGCCTCGATTAATTATTTAGTCCATGTAAAAAAATATTTATCACACTGTCTTCAAATGTTTTTTATCTGAGTCAAAAACACAACTGTAAAGGTGCTTTCACACCTGACCTGTTTGGTTCGGTTCAGTCAAACTCAAGTTAGTTTGCCTCATAAGTGCGGTTAGTTTGGGGAGGTGTGAACACAGCAATCGCACTCGGGTGCACACCAAAACAACCGGACTGAGACCTTCTTGAAGAGGTGGTCTCAGTCTGGTTACAGATGAACTCTGGTGCAGTTTGTTTGTGGTGAGAACGTGTTCTGACCTAGATCTGAACCAACTGCAGTCACATGACACATTGTTTGGGTTAAACATGAGCATGTTACAGTCCTGGAGGATTATTAATGTGCACCTCCTCCTGTACTGCCTTAATATGCACATTCAGCACATCCAATGCATCAAAACATTGTTTTCTAGTTGTAGCCGCGCCTCGTTTTCAAACTGTATGGTTTGACTAAAATGAACAATGACAGCAATATAGTCCACGATGAGCAGCGCTAAAATCAACCTGCGTAGTTGTCCCTCCATTGTGACATTAGAAAGTGTCACATTTATCTTGCAAGTGTACTCTTCTTCAACGTTTTGTTTACTTCCTGGATTTTTCCCACATGGAAATTCTGACCAATCAAGAGCAGCTTTCTCACACAAGGCATTTGATCTGGTCCTCTTGTAAATGCTGCCGTGAGAACATGAACCAACTCTAGGCAATTATACAAATTTGTAAGAAAGTTAGTCCCTGATTCAGACCAAAGCAAGACAACTCTAGGTCTGAAAGCACCCTGAGTGAAGGAGAAGCAGCATTTTCTCATATTTGAGAAACAAGAGAAACATTCTCATATGTACACAATAATGTGTAAAAGCCATCAGACGAGCATTAATGCTGTGATTAAACTAATAATTGATGTAAATGTATAAACTCTGCTCCATGTGTTGGTCCTCAGCCGTCAGAGAGAGTGCGGGTGGAGGTGGTGTCTCTGAGCCTGAAGCCAGAGTCTCGGGTGTCCCGGGATGACAGCGTGGTGCGTCTTTTTGTTGAGTACTCTCTGCTGGACCTGCCCACAGAGGAAACCCCCCTGTCCCTCCCCAAACCCCTCCAAGGCAAGAGCATCAACTACAACTACAGCAAAGGTGAGAACCTGTACTATGACTACATGTACTGAGTGCACCAGCACCGGAATTTACTGTTTATCAGACCACAGCTGAGACAAGAATTAACTAGCTAACACAGCCTGCAGACCCTACACCTCACTCCCCACCACTGGGACTGAAACAGTTTGCTTCTCTGGCTTCTCTTATGGACGAACACAGGCAGAGTCCTGATTGTAAAGTTCCGAATCAGTATTTCATCATGACTACAGGAAGGGGGTTACAGCACAGGGAAATGACTGATGTCGTTATCCACAGATCAGAATGATGTAACAGGTAAGAATGACTGATGATTGATATGACTGACACATGGTTTCTGAAAGACAATAGAAAAATAAGGATGGAAGCAAAAGGCACTCACCATAAATGTAGCTGAAATAGCACAAATGAAACACACTGACACTCAACAATAATCATTAAAGCTGTAAACGAGGTGCTAAAATAGCATTAATAGTCGACGATTGCTGTGGTTAACACTTGTCATTATTAATTTACTGAACAAAGTACAAACCCAGTAACATACTGAGGCAGAAGAAAGATAACACAGCAGGGCTCGACAGTGCGAGCATTTCACTCGCATTTGCGACTAAAAATAGGTGTGTGCAAACTGTAAAAAATATTTAGGGGCACATGTGCGCATAAAAAATCAGCCGAAGCAGCCTATATTTTTGTCAATAAAAAAATATGATAATCTAACCGCAAATGTTGGAGGAACTCCAGCAGCCTTCCCTCTTCCCTCTTCTCTGTGTGACACGGTTATGGGCGGTTTCCAAGCCACTGTCGGCACAATGAAAAGTCCCACTGTCTGCAGCGTGGAAATAAGTCAAAGTGTGGAGGAAGCGGCGGACCTACATACGGGGAAGCCTGCTCCGTTCTCCCCGCAGTTAGGGACCGTTCGCCACGGTACCGCTGCTGGGCAGGGTGGAAATAAAGCCCTTTTCACACAGAGTGCGCAAAGCGCAGACCTCCGCCGACGAACCCATTCATTGTGTATGTGCTACCGCGGCGCAAGAGCGCACCTCTCTGCCGCCGAGCTGATGCCATGGCGTCTGCGCGCCGCCAGCCTGCGCTTGAATTGAAAATTTTTTAATTTCACCGCAACGCGCTGTGACGACACCTCGGCGGGTCTAATAGCAGAGAAGAGCCTGAAGTAGACCCGGAAGCGGTCACCATGGAGCTGTAGCTCTTGAACAAGCCTGTACTCCCCCAAATCCTGTCTTGCGCGCCTTGCTCTCTGCTTGCTCTGCGCTCTACCCTGCGGTGGGTGCTGCAAAAAGAGGATTAAGTCCTGCAGAGTTTTAGAGGACCTGGAGAACGTTTTAGGATAGTAATAACATAATATAAGATAATCATATTGCAAAGATAATATATATAAGATAATAACATTAAAGACAAAATTAAATTGCAATACTTTTTCAAAACTTGGTGATTTTACCTTTCTGTACATTTTGTATACAAATTCATGAAATAATTTTGCTTGTAAATGTCTATTTGCATCACATTTATTACGGAAAACACATTATTTGATCAATTTACATTGTGCCCCTAAAGTTCTTTGTGCGCTCCTTACTTTTTCAACTTAGGAGCACATGTGCTCCTTGGGAAAAAAGTTAGCGTCAAGCCCTGCACAGGCAGAGTAATGTGTATTCAGTTCAGTGCCACCAGGAATGCACAGATTTGTACACTGGGGAAACTTAACAATCACTCGACAAGCGCATGACACAGCACAGGAGAGCCAGCTCCTTAGGTCAGGTCAAGACTCAACTGTCCACTTACATGAAGGAGAAGGGACACTCTTTCGAGGACAGCAATGTGCACATCTTGGCCAGAGAAGAAAGATGGTTTGAAAGAGGAGTGAAAGAAGCCATCTGCGTCAAACTAGAACAACCATGATTAAACAGAGATGGTGGCCTACGACACCATTTATCACCCACCTACAAAGCAGTCTTGGGGTCCCTCCCCAGATGACTTCAAACCCATTCACATCTGGCCTCATCTGACTCTAACGACACACATGATGGCCAGGTGGGTCAGTGACTCACATGTGCATGACAACACTGTAAGGGTTCACACCCATACAGAGTTTAAAGACTGCGACTCTGCACCAGAACTGAGGAAGCTTCTTGGATGAGAGGCAAAACGTCTTCAAGCAAGGGTCTTTAGGTCTCAAGAAAAATAAGTGCCATTTAAACAGTATGTCTCAGTGTTTCCACATTCAGTCAGTCTACTCCTCACCGACATTACATGTGCATTTATCCACATATTTCCTGATATAGATTATTTTGAACTGAAGCTGCTGATTGACAGTATTATGCACAATGTTCAGTATCTTTAAACATGGTCACAGTAAGTATTCATTATGATATTAGAGAACTGTATTCTGCTCAGGGTGGAGAAGCCTCTGAAGCAGAATTTTACATGAAGTGGGCATTGTTTAACTTATTCCTGAAACTGGGCATCTTTTAGTGTAGTCCTCTAGTAGGCCGGATTGGACCCTTTGTCAGGCCGGTTCTAGCACACAGGCCGTTTGTTTGACACCCCTGGGGTTAGAGGATTAGATAATAATAATAATAATAATAATAATAAATTTAATTTATAAAGCACTTTTCATTTATAAAAAAAACCCTCAAAGTGCTACAGCACACAGTAAAAAGGTAGATCAATTAAAACATTATAAACGCAAATTCAAAAAGTCCTAGGCCAAGTCAAAAGCTTCTTTAAAAAGGAAAGTCTTTAAGTCTCTCTTAAAGGTATCCACTGTCTGTGGGGCTCTGAGGTGGCCAGGTAGGGAGTTCCAGGGGGGCAGCAGGACAAAAGGCACAGTCTCCCATAGTGCGGAGCTTGGTTCTGGGGAGGTGGAGAAGGTATTGGTTTTGGGAGCGTAGATTCCAGGTTGAAGCTTGCTGGGTGAGTAATTCATTGAGATAATCCGGGGCATTTCCATGGATACACTGATGGGTGATGAGAGCAAGTTTGTAGCTGATTCTGGCGGAGATGGGGAACCAGTGAAGGGTGCAGAGTATGGGTGTGATGTGTTCGTGTTTTCTGACTTTCAGGAGGATCCTAGCAGCACTATTTTGAATAAGTTGTAATTTTTGCAGACTTTTGCCAGGAATTCCAATTAGAAGGGCGGTGCAGTAATCGAGCCTGGAGGAGACAAAGACATGGACTAGTTTCTCTGCATCAAAGAGGGTGAGAGAAGGACGGAGTTTAGCGATGTTGTTAAGGTGAAAAAAGCAGGATTTACACAGATATTTAATGTGATTTTCAAATGTTAGATGAGGGTCCAGTCTCACGCCAAGGTTGGTAACTGTAGATGAAAGGGGTATGTCCTGGCCGGAGAATGTGATGGTGGTTATAGAAGATGACTGGACCTGATGAGGGGTGCCAATAAGTATGGCTTCGGATTTGGAACAGTTGAGTTGGAGGAAGTTACAACTCATCCAGGCCTTTATCTCCTCCAGGCAGTTGGTGAGTGTGGACAGAGGTGAAGATGAAGATGGTAGAGCAGTTGAAGGGGTTGGGTCAGTCCTGAGATACAGCTGAGTGTCATCGGCGTAGGAGTGGAAAGAAATCCCGCACTGTCTGATGACACGGCCAAGGGGGAGCATGTATATAATAAATAGAAGTGGGCTAAGGACAGATCTGTTGGGATGACATGAATCGCGACCCTCAGATGTCCTCCTCATTCATGGCTGTATTCAGTGCGGCCCACACATTTGGCAGTTTATATTGAGTGTGCAATAGAACAGCACCGTATATTGAGACAGCCGCGGCCAGAGGAGACAGAGGGAATTCTTCATGAGGACACTACTTCCCCGGGAGGAGAGTGGACGGCAGCTCAGACCTTAGCTGCTGTAGCAAATCGAATTCAGCCAGAGGAAACTCCAGGCTCTGGGTTCACAGCAGGCTGGAGGGCACGAGGCAGACTGCCACTGCAAAAAACACGGTGGATGGGTGCCAGTCGTTTGTTGACATCAGCAGACTCTGTGACTAAAGTTAAACTTGTGTGGCACACTGTTTTGCTGTAGCAGAGCTAAAGAGAGCAGGTGCTCAGGAACATAACATCACATCCTTTGAATTATCCCGAAAAATTAATCCCAAGTCCTTAAAATATTAATCAGTCCACAGGCTGTTAGAGGTGACTGAGAAGGTCGGGGAAGATCTCAGTTTTTAAGTTACGTTCCAACCTGTTCACCCATTGGTAATTAAAAGGCTTAGTACATGGAAAAGTTACATACAGAACCTATAATGTTCTCGAGAGTCGTATTAAATTACAGTACTTGTTTTATGTCAGAGAGATTCAGACTCCATCGTGTTTTTAATATGTGACCTGTTTGTTGTCCTGCAGTCGTTCCTGTGGATGCAGAGAAGAACGGGGCGAGGCGGCGGCTGCTGAGAGGAGTCCTGCAGGGACGAAACCCTCAAATGGAGAGGTGGGACTCGGAAATGATGTTAGACTTTTTCTTAACACAAGTGAGACGGCTAGAGACAAATGTTTAACTGTCACACTTTTGTACAGACGAAGATCAAAACAGGAAGGAAACACCTTTGCTTCACTATCACGTTCAACGAGAGACATGTCCACCCAAATATCCCTCCTGCCTTCAGTGGGATCTAGTCACGGTTTATTTGCCCTGATCTTCTCCGAGAGTTCTGCCTCCACCTGATTATAATGGAGATGAATTGGATTTTATTTTATTTTATTTGGAATAATTTCATTTGAGAGTGCCACCTACAGAAGGTCAAACTCAACACAACAACAGTAACAATGAAGTCAAAGATGATAACCGGGACACTGTGAGTTTACAGAGTTCATAATCTGAGCAGTAGAAACTGTTTTGATAGACTCTGGTTGCTCTGGTCACTGTTGTTTCCAGCAGCAGCACCTGTTTGTGATTGATGATAACTTCATGAGATGATATCAGTGTTACAGCTTGTTCTGCCGCTCCCATAACAATCAGTTAATGCAAAATTCAGTGTGTTAGAGTTTTGTGTTGTTGATCAAAAAAGAAAAGAAAATACTGATTCAGTGATAAATCATAAAAAATACAAGACATATTTGACAAGGACAATTACATTAATTTGCAGTTTTAAAATGAGGATCATACTGACAGTATTAATAATATATGTGTGTGTATGTTTTTTTGACAGAATCCGGTTCACAGTGGTGAGCGAGCCCCCGGAGGAAGAGGAGCAGGAGAGGGAGTGTGAGGATGTGGGCGTGGCCTTCCTCAGGATCCCCGAAATTCTGGAGAGACAACGGGACCTGACGGAGACCAGCCTGAATGGTCCGTACACACACACACACACACACACACACACACACTGTACTCTACAGGATTACAGATGTGACGGCAGTTCTAATCAAACCATCGTCCCTTCTTTATGCCACCTTTGTATTTTTACACAGACCAGACAGCAGTGCCACTAGGCCGCTCCAGTGTCTGATTTTAGACAGAGTGCCCACATCACGGAAACAAAATAAGTGTGATGGACGTGTCATGTAACACAACAATGTCAGTCTCCACTGTGACATGTAACATACACATTGGCAGTGCTTTATAAACAATAACAATGGCTAACATGTCTTGAGAATCATTTACCATCTCTGTAATATGGCGGCTGATCTTGTCCTCAGCTCAGAGGGTTAGGAGCTCGGTGACCTCACTGTTTTCCCAATTTAGGGACATTTTAAGCTGCTGTTCTTCTTCTTTGAGTTAGCTGCTAACTACTATTTGCTTCTTTTTAAATCTCACGACATTGGGTTGTATTTATAGCACACATCACACCTGTCCTGTCCCATGCACATGGATGTTGTTTCGGCGCTGTCACTGCCTCCGCTGCTGGTGTAAAGGAGAGACAACTCTTTCCCCCGTTCTGTGATTGTACCGTTTATACAGAACAGCAAGGCGGCATCACAGCGTGAAATTCCTGCCTCAAGCAGGCAGTGTAAATGGGGCCACAGATTTGTTCCTGCTGTTAGTCAGTGTCTCTGTCTGTGTGTGTATGTGTCCTGCAGTGTTGGATGTTGAGGACAGCAGCGAGGTGGTCGGCAGTCTGACTGTGTCTGTGGAGGGACTGGAGGCTCTGCAGGCCATCATGGAGGAGGACGACGTGGAGCTTCCTTCAGTATGAGGCAACATCACAGACACAAACATCACATGAGACACAATGTGTGTACAACCGCCATCATACTAAAACAGTATGTGAGTCTAATGTCTACTTCATACACTGAGGACTGACTCGGTACTGAAACACTGAAACTGTTCAGTTTATCAGACACTTTATTTGGAGGTCGTGTGTCATTCAGAGTTTTCACTGTGTTGGTGTTTTGTAGACATGTTAAACATGTTTTGAAGCATAAGGGAACTCTGAGTGTTCGTCCTGTATCTTTGCTCAGGGAGCACAGATCTGTTTATCTTCAGGTCAAAATAAATGTGAGTTAAAAACTGTAAAGTTTGGTTGAAAGACGTTTGTTTCTTCAGCCTGTTGGCAGAGAAGCTTCACTGTCTGCCACTTTATTCCACGCTGAAATATATTGAGAACTGTTGGATGGACTGTGATGAAATGTGTTTCAGACTTTTGTTATTTTTGTTCTTTTGCACAAACATAACACTGCATAAAATCCAGATAATGGAAAAAAAAGAAATGTGTCAGGAGAGGACAGGCTGATACAGCAGACCTCCCTTTAACTTCAGAAAAAACTAGCAATAACAAAATCCAAGTCCACTAAAAACAGAGAAATACATGATAAACAATACAAAGAAAAAGAAGAAGAGACAATAACCATACACACACACACACACATATGTATATATGTATCTATATACAGGGTTCTTGTGGATCCATAAAAGCCTTAAAAGTGTCTTGAATCAATCTTTTAAAAGTCTTAAAAAGGTTTTTTAATTTAAATTTTATGAATAGTTTTTTTCTGATTTTACATTGCAAAATAATACTGTAATGAATCCCTCACATTAAGATCCCACTGATCAGGATGGTGGAACCAACCTCTCTCATATTTAGCTTCTGCTCAGAGCAGAGGATCTGCTGTCACTGCACCCTGGACGACGTGGCATACATATGTTATTTTCCAGGCAAACAAGAATACAAGGCATGTATTTTTTATAGTATGGAGGTGGACACCACTAAAAAGAAAAATTAACAAATAACTTTAAAAGGAAAGAGAAGAAAACAAACTAACAAACAAACAGGTCACATACATGTCATCATACATTTCTCTACAGGGTCACACAGTCACAGAGCAGGTTCATAATTATGTAGGCTTATCTCCCATTTTAAGATGAATCTATAACTGGTCCCGAGGTGATACTCCTTTCTCCTGATCGCCATTTATTCTATTCTACTGAACAAATGTTCATAAGATGCTGTTTCCACCATTACATTAACCCATTCTTTCACTCCAGGGCCTTTTTTGTCTTCCAGTGTTTTAGGATAACTCGACAGACAGTTATTAGACCCACAATAATAACTGGAAATGCACACTTGGATACATTTGGTATTTGGACCGATCCAACAGTGAACACAACATTGGACTTAAAGGGATAACTGAACTAAAAATTGTCTTTTTAAACAAGATTTCTCATCATGGCTGAAACAATTGAATACACAAGGCTTGGTGTATTCAATGTCAAAAAAAACCCCAACATCATCAAGACAACCAACAAACGCCACGTATTTTTAGTATTGTATTATTTCTGTCCTTCCTTTGTCTCAGCCATGCCCAGAAATTATTATTTTTATTTTCAACATTTAAAGTAGATCAGCTTTTTTACTGGAACAAAAAAAAAAATCGTATTCGACAGCCGCCATGTGGACGTCTCAATAAAAGCTGAACGTAATAAGATAATAGAAGTTTTCTTGCAGGAGAGGAAGACAAACTTACTGAAGTACGTTTTATAAAAAGCTTGAAATGTAAATGATCTTATTTAATGTATAAAACTGAACCTGAACCTTCAGATTGTATTACTGAGTCACATGTGTAAAGGTGTGTTAAAATACTGTAGATGTTATAATGATATATTTTAAATGTGAAAATGTTTTAAAGTTTGTACACTAGAGTTATTTAATGTATTTCAATCTCCAACTGTAATAACTGTAAATTTTCCTGTAGCTCAGGTTCTGGTCTCCGGCAGTAGAAGCTTTTAGTTTTTACAGGTGGATGTTTTAGTGTCAGTGTGTTGATAGCTGCTGAACACCTGCACAGTTACATCAGGATACTGTTTGTAATGTTTGTTTGTGGGAGAGTGAAGAAAGAAGTTGGACAAGCGTGCCTTAAATCTGATATTTCCTGTATGATGTTTTGTATTGTGCTCTAAGAAAGAGTGTTTTTCTGTATATGTGGGGAACCAAATATCTTTTTACATGTTTAGTTTCATAATTATGATGAAGCTGCTAAAGAAAGTTGGACTTATTTAAATGACATCTTCATTACAAACTATCGGTCAAAAGAGCACAGTGACTAACTGAGATCAATAAAAGGTTCACATAATCCAAAACTGTATAAATATAAACAGATTCTAATAAAATGTTAAATAACAAATGATTCACAGTTTTCTCCTCTCACAAAAAAAGAGACCTTAATTGTTTCACTTTTACATCTGTGAATGTTTGATGTCTTGACTTAACGGCTAAAAGCTTTAACGCTAAAATTTGACATTCACTGAAATCCTGAGAGAGTTCAGACCACTTTACGCCACTCTCTCCTCTGTACAGTAAATATGAAGCTACAGCAGCAGCTGCATAGCTTAGCATAGGAGACTCAAAAACAAGGGGAAACAGCTATCTTAGCTTAGCATAAAGACTGGAAACATGAATAAAGCTAGCTTAGCTTAGCATAAAGACTGGCAATGGGGACAACAGCTAGCTAAGGTTTTCACAAAGACTGGAAACAGCAAGCTAAGCTTAGAATGAAGACTTGAAACATAGAAACAGCAAGTTTAGGTTAGCATAAAGAATGGGAGCAGGTGGAAACAGCTATCTTAGCTTAGCATAAAGACTGGAAACATGAAAACAGCTAGCTTAGCATAAAGACTGGCAATGGGGACAACAGCTAGCTAAGGTTTTCACAAAGACTGGAAACAGTAAGCTAAGCTTAGAATGAAGACTTGAAATGTAGAAACAGCAAGCTTAGGTTAGCATAAAGACTGGGAGCAGGTGGAAACAGCTATCTTAGATTAGCATAATGGAAATGGGGAAATGGGGAAACAGGAAGCAGGAACACTGGGAACTGAGAGTCAGCCATCTTGGCTTAGCATAATGATTAAAAACACGAGGAACAGCTAGCTTAGGTTAGCATAAAGACCAGAAAATGGAAACAGCTAGCTAAGCTTAGCATCAAGAATGGAAATGGGGGAAATAGCTAGCTTAACTGAGCATTAAGACTAGAAACAGGGACACAGCAAGCTTAGCTTAGCATAAAGACTGAAAACAGGCAATCAGCTATTTTAGCTCGGCATAAAATAAAACAGGCAAACAGGAAGCTTAGCATAGCATAAAGACTGGAAACTGCGAATCAGTTAGCTTAGCTTAGCATAATGACCAAAAACACATGGAAACAGCTCGCTCATCTTAGCATAAAGACTGAAAACGGGGAAACAAACTTCCTTAGCACTTAATCGACTCTCAACATTAAGGTATGAGTGATGTGTTCAATTACTAAACTCCATTTAAATCTTGTGTGATGACTAAGCATTAGTAAAGAAAGTGACCATGAATCGTTGACCTGAACTGAACTCTTTAAATTTACATGAGTATTGTTTCATGACATGAAACAAATGTGAATCTGTGCTTAAACTTTATCGTGCACATTATGTGAATCTGTATTGATATGAACAGTTTTCATAAAGTATTTAATATCTGTAGGCAATTTTTACTCTTCGATAAGACATGAGTAGATGATCATCAGTGTGGATTTTACAGCTGTAACAGTTAATCAGTTAATTGATTATTCGATCAACAAAAGGTTATCAGCAGCTTTTCTTCAGCTTGTTGAGCTCTAATTTATTTAGTGGGAATAATTGTAAATTAGCAAATGAAGCTAAATAAGTAGGAGAATTGTCATCATTATTATGATTATTATATTTTTTTATTTTTTATAGTTTGTGTGTGCTGTTTGCTTTTGGGCTTGTGGCCATGTTAGTCATATAAATTGTACATTTTCTTTGTAATTATTTTACAAAAGGATAATCAGCAATAACTGGTATAATTGATTATTTGTTTCAGTCAATTTAAAAGCAGCTATTCCAAATAATCTCTTTCAGCTCATGAGATCTGAGGATTTGATGTTTTTCTTTGTTTTCTGTCACAGTAAATGAATTATTTGGGGGTTTTCAACAGTTGGTCGGTCACTGTGGGCTTTGAGAAAACTGAAAGATTGATCAAGAAAATAAACTGCAGATTGATCAACAGAGAAAAAGTTATTTGGAGCATTTGTGGATCCTGAACTCTGAGCTCTCTGTAGTGTGAGTGTGTAATTCTGATCCTAGCTCAGTTTCATCGTATTGGCTGTATCCTCATGTTTACTCCTGTTCTGCTGCTGCTGCTGTAGTGTCCCAGTCTGTCCACAGAGACGTTCAGTGGTCATCCGTGTGTCACCTCCAGCTGACAGAGACAGGACCTGTGACGAAGAGGAGCAGATGAAGAAACAGAAACATTAAAGACGTGGGATATAAACAGCTGAGGAGGCAGCAGGATTCTCTGCAGCAGGTAAAACTCTGTTTAAAATTTCATATCTGAGCAGGTTGTGAAGTTATGAAATGTGGAGCTACTGTGAATCCAAAACTAAACTCATTTGCAGCTTTTCTTACAATCAGTTTATTGTTTGAGTCATTTTCTAAGCAGAGAAACCAAAAATTTGATTGTTCCAGCATCTTAAACATGATAATCTGCTGCTTTTCTTGGTCTTTTATCTCAGGAAAGTGAATATTTGTGATTTTTGGACGTTTAATGATGTGAAAAAGTGCTTCAGGATATTAAAGTGAACATTGTTTTGCTGACATTTTATAGTATGAAATTAATCAAGTAATTGTTAGTTATCATTAGATTAGCTGATGATAACAGTAATCTCTAATGAAATGAGGTGTTATTCTGTAGTCTGACAGGAGTTTAGTCTGACTTTTATTCAGATTTTATTTTTTACTAAATGCGGTTTTGTTTATTTAAAACTGGGGAAAAACTGAACTGCTGCACAGAAACAGCATTTTGTGTTTTCACCACAAACAAGATACATAAAGCAAAGCAGAGAGAATGTGACTGATTTTAAGACTTTAAAAAATAACAAATTATTTCATTATAAATATTCTTGTAATTGTTCATTAAACGGCAAAAGAAAGAAGCCGGAGGATCTGACGCTATGGAGGAACAATCTGTGATTCATCAGGTTTTGATAATATAATTATTGCGGTGTGGTTAATTATTTGTTGTGTCCGATGATTTTCAGCCACAACATGTGTGTGTTATTTTGTTCTTTCTCTGCGGCTGACATCTCCATGGAAACATCGTACATGTTGCAGCAGTGTATCAATAGTGGTCCCTCTGTAAGAATACAGCAGGACGTCCACAGGACTTCAGCTGTTCATGAAGGTTGGACAGTTGAGCCACACAGGTCATTATTATCAGATTGTGTGTTAAATAATATAACATGTTACTGCAGATAAAGCACTGTGTGAGTTCCATAGTATAAATTTAAAAAAAGAAATTAAGGAAATGAAAGGAGTGATCTGTAAGGTTCCTCTGCTGTCTGTGTACTTAAAGGAACATTTCCGCCTTAAAATGACCATTTGTAAATCAGTGATGTCATGTTATCTTGAATTCATGAAGAAATCTTTGTTGTTCTTGCATGCCTCCACGATAAACGGCAAACGTGTTTATTGATTGATTGGGGACCACATTAACAACAGCAAAACTATATCACAACAGGCACATGCACAGACAGACCCCAGGTGGTGCTCATGCACCTGCCCTTTTGCCCACTGTCTAGATAAGTGCCCTGTTTGCGAGACGTTTTTTTTTTTCTATTTCTTTCAATAATTTTAAATTTTAGTTTTTAGATTTGGTCCATGGCATCCCCCTGACCCTTCCTCTTCAACTTCCCTTGCGGCAGCTGCACGTAAATCGAACCCCTGCAGAGCAACATCACGTCTCCCTCATCTGCCTTCATGGCAGCCACTTGACAAGAGTGGTTGCCTTAAGTCTTGGCACTCTGTCTTTGTTCTGAAATTAAACCACTGTTAAAACATCTTAATACGGGCAGTCTAATGTAGGCAGTAACCCATTGTTGATAGGCGTCAAGTTGCTGTCCAAAGTCCACAAGTCTTTAAAGTAAAACTCAACTTAAAATAATGTTTACGTCTCCCACGTTGCATCTCTGGTAATTAATTTTGACAAATGTAACATGCAGTTTGGGGCTGCAGTGCATAAAGAGCACTGAGGAGGAGTGTGGGGCTGCTCGTTTCTGTTCTCTGGGACTCTTCAACAATATTTACAGCTTCTTTAGAAGATAATTGACATGTGAGTATTTAAAAAAAGAAGGAGAGAATGAGGAGAGGAGAAGAACAAATTGAGAAGAGATGTTTGTGTTACCACTTGAACACACATTTTTGTACTTTGATAATCAACTGTTTAGAGATTTGATTCATTTGATTCATAGTCCTGCCTGAACTAACGCTATGCTCAGTTTTTGTTGAGATATAACGGTCTTGGAGACATTCAGGCTCTAATCTCCCGCAGATTTTCATATAAAATGGCCAAATCTGAAGTTCCATCAGGTTCCACAAATGCATAGTAATGTAATGTGGTGTTGAGATAATAAAAGGGGACTTAGGATCGACCCCTGAGGAACTCCACAGATCAGAGGAGCACAATCAGGATGGAGACAGAGACGTTTAGATAAAGAGGCGGAAAACATTCTTGTTATCAGGCATCAAAGAGCTGTCAGAACAAGAGAAGTGTTCCTCTTTGAGACAGAACTTCCCCTCTTATTCTGTATCTGCTCAGTCTGTCCACGAAGTTTGTCTGACTGGAGGAGGTGCTAATCCCTTAAGATTATGTTTATATTACAGAATCATAGTGAAGTTTGACGAACTGTTGGTTTGTGTCCTCCAGCAGCAGCAGAGCCAGTCACCATGAGTCTGGACGAGGATGCTCGCTGGCTTGAGTGGGTCACCAAACAGTTTGAGACCATCGCCGGAGACGACAAAGAGATCGACATCAACGAGTTTAAAACGGCTCTCAAGGTCAAAGAGGTGAGGCAAACATGAATACTCATATCCTAAAGTTAAAGTATTCAATTCATCCCATGACTGAAATCTGATTCTCTGTGACATCATGCCTATACATTATTAATACTGAAGCACCAGTGTTTGATGCTAAATGGTTCCAAACTGAGAGGTTGGGCCCATCTAAAGGGTCACCAGATAAATCTGAGGGGTCGTCACATGATTAATGAGAGAGAAGAAGAAAAAGCTATGCTCTGGTACGCAAATCTGATTCTGAACTTTTCTGTTCGATTTAAGTGAAATATTAATCATTTGAAACGTTAAAATTTTATATCCTCCTGAGACCCTGTGTCCTACGACAGAGTATTAGGGCCACATTGAAGAAGAAAAAATTCGGAGATTTCAAGAATAAAGTTGAAATATTACGAGAAAAAACTCGTAATATTTCGAGAATTAAGTCATAACTGAGAAAAAGTCATAATATTACGAGAATAAAGTCGAAATATTATGAGATTATAGTCGTAATTTAACGAGATTAAAGTCATAATATTACAAGAATAAAGTCGTAGTTTTTAAGGAAATAACCAACAACAAACAGAATATCAGAATATATCATATCACTAACGATATTTTCACCCCATTAAGTCACATCCCGTTATTTCCTCTGTAAACCTAACGTTACAGCAGCCTACAAGCATGCTGTGTCAATAAATCAGCTCAGACACTGTTAGAAATGTGATATTCAGCCTAATAACATCATGCTACAGCAGTAATAATGTCAGCTTTAGTCAAATGGCTCTAGCTCTCCCGGTAAATGTCATAAACTCTGGACACATTTTCCCTGTATGTTGACATGATAATGGCCGCGTTTCCCAGATCGCTTAACTTAAGAAGATCTTTCACTAAGAAGGAGTTGTAAGATCGAGCTGACCCACTCTTAACATTCTTCTTAGCCACCAAACGCTCACAGATCCAGCCGCAGCAGGCACATTAATATTACACTAGCCTAAGCACCCTGTGTGCGCTCAGAGCTGTGGCACAAGTTACGCACGAAAATCTGGTGGAAGAAAAATAATAATAAGACGAAAAATAAGTAGGCTGTGTATGACTTATAGCTGACGACGTGGTGGGTGATTGATGCACCTGACGTCGATTGATTTAGTTTCAGCACCGCGGTAGTGGCCAGCTCCTGTTAAGAGTTTCTTAAAGAGTGATCTCAAGTAAAATCTTAACTGGATGCAGAGAGTGAAAAGAAAGCAATAGCCTAATTTAAAAAGTTGCCTTTATTGAAAATGCATTTAATCTCTGATTCTATTTGAAAGCTATTTCTCAAGACGAGTTCTGTAATTACCTTGTCCGCTTTCATTCTGTTTATATCTTAACAGGAGCTGGCCACTACCGCAGTGCTGAAATTCTAAATCAATCGATGTCAGGCACATCGATCACCCACCATTTCATCACTGTCCCCATCTCTGTTTTATCATCTCCTTGCTTAGGCTAGTGTAATATTATTATGCCTGCTGCGGCTGGATCTGTGAGCGTTTGGTCACTAAGAAGAGTGTTAAGAGTGGGTCAGCTCGATCTTACAACTCCTTCTTAGTGAAAGATCTTCTTAAGCTAAGAGCGATCTGGGAAACGCAGCCATTATCATGTCAACATACAGGGAAAATGTGTCCAGAGTTTATGACATTTACCGGGAGAGCTAGAGCCATTTGACTAAAGCTGACGTTATTACTGCTGTAGCATGATGTTATTAGGCTAAATATCACATTTCTAACAGTGTCTGAGCTGATTTATTGACACAGCATGCTTGTAGGCTGCTGTAACGTTAGGTTTACAGAGGAAATAATGGGATGTGACTTAATGGGGTGAAAATATCGTTAGTGAAACAGAAACAAGCGTTAGTTAGGGGACAAGAGCCAAGAGTCAAAAAGACTCACGTATGTTAAAAGTTACTAACAACTGGTGTATTTACTGTAGGCTATGTGTCCGGGGTCCTTCACCTGTGGAACGAGTAATGTGACCACTAACTTGTCCCCAAACAAACGCATGTTTCTGTTAGGCCTATTTGTGTTTCACTAACGTTCTATATGTATTATGAAGAATGTCAGACTGGCCAATCAGTGGCAGAGTTGAGCCCGGAGTTTCGACTGACACAGAACCGACACGGTGCCGGTTCCCAAACCTAATTATTAGACTACTTACAACGGCATGAAAGACAATCTGATATTCTGTTTGTTGTTGGTTATTTCCTTAAAAACTACGACTTTATTCTTGTAATATTATGACTTTAATCTCGTTAAATTACGACTTTAATCTCATAATATTTCGACTTTATTCTCGTAATATTATGACTTTAATCTCATTAAATTACAACTTTAATCTCATAATATTTCGACTTAATTCTCGTAATATTATGACTTTAATCTCGTTAAATTACAACTTTAATCTCATAATATTTCGACTTTATTCTCATAATATTATGACTTTTTCTCAGATATGACTTTATTCTTGAAATATTACGAGTTTTTTCTCGTAATATTTTGACTTTATTCTCGACATCTCTGATTTTTTTTTTTCTTTAATGTGGCCCTAATACTCCGTCGTATTCATGGGCACTTTTTTGTGCCATCTAGTGGTAGTAAGAGAACAATACTCTAAGGCCCTGATTGCACAGAAGGCATTTTAGCAGTTGAGGCAGGCTTTTTGTAATTGTTTTTTGTCCCTGAGTCATCCTAAAATGGATCTAAAATGGACCTGATCCTCGATGATGGCCTGGAACTGGCCATCATGGAGGAGAAGCTCCTGGACCAACTGGTGGTACTCCCCATGATCCACCCTCTTTTTTAGGGTCTCATGTACCCACACAGATTTCCGTTTCCCTGTGCCCAACAAACTATTTGCTGACAGCCTCTCACCCTCAACCAGAGCTACAGCAAGTACCCTCTGCCTCAACATTTTAGGAACTAGATACTAATTACTGTCAAACAACAAAAAATATAAATAAATGGTAGATTGATTACACAATATACAGTTAATTTATTGCAATATATTTTATCACAATACTCAAAATAACAAGTTTCAAATTGCAATAATATCGTATTGTGGAGCCTCAGATGATTCCCACCCCTAATGAATGGACGTGTTCAGGTAAAGTACAGGTGATCACAGACACACTGACCCTTGCTGTTATATCTGATCGTGTTATGAGATGTGTTCTGATGTGTGTGTTTTCTCTGCAGTCTTTCTTTGCCGAGCGTTTCTTTGCGCTGTTCGACTCTGACGGCAGCAGCTCCATCAGTCTGGACGAGCTGCTGGAAGCTCTGGAACTCCTGATCCACGGCAGCGAGACAGATAAGCTCAAGTTCCTGTTCCAGGTCTACGACGTGGACGGTCAGTGACCCCAATATATATGCCTTCTTCCTCCAAACAGATCAGTGAGCCACACTGTTATTACTTAATTTTATACACCGTCCAGCTTCCACATATACTTACTAGAGCACCAAATGTGGATTAATCCGCCACTGAAAATAGTCCCCGACAAAGTCACTATTTTTTCATGTTTGTTTGAGGAAAACACTGATGAAATAATTTGTGTTTGTAAAGATCTTCAGTAGGAACCAGCGGGCTTGGAGCCGAGAGACACAGACAGGAAGTCAGACAGCGTTGAAAGATGGACTAATATGTTGTTGATTTGAATCTGACAATAAGAAAAATATTGAAGAACACCAGACTGGTCCTTTAATGAGATACTCTTTACATGTGATCATCTGTTTTAGTTCTGTTTTAGGAGATATTTCAGGTGTTATGACGAACTCTTCTTTCATTTTCCAACTTCCTACATTTCCCAGAATGCCACTGAGATGTCTTTGAAAAAGTTGGAGGCTGTTCTTTGCTCCACACGTTCAGTCTTTCAATCCATCCACTCTGAAACACACACACAGTCTCGTCTCTCAGTGTAATTGAGGTAAATTTTGTCCTACAGGCAGCGGTTCCATCGATCCAGACGAGCTGCGAACTGTTTTGAAGTCATGTCTACGTGAGAGCGCCATCTCTCTGCCGGAGGAGAAACTGGATGATTTGACGCTGGCGCTGTTTGAGTCGGCCGACAAAGACAACAGCGGCTCCATCACCTTTGAGGAGCTCAAAGCTGAGCTGGAGAACTTCCCTGAGGTGATGGAGAACCTCACCATCAGGTCAGACACCTGCATTTAGTGTCTGCACTTATTATCCAATTATTTGATTATTATTTATTATTCCTGTTATTTATTATTTTTCCTCCTTTTATTATCATTTTTATTCATATTATTAAATATTGTTCATTAATCCTTTTATTTTATAATTATTTAATATCCCTATTATTTATTATTATTTTATTGTATATTATTCTATTTATTATTATTGTTATTTTTAGATATTATTCCTAATATTTATAACTGTTCATTATTCCTATTATTTTTTATTATTCATTATTTTTTATTTTATTTTCCTGTAATTTATTATTATTTAACACCCCTATTGATTTTTTATTAATAATTAGTCCTATTATTTATTATCCCAATTATTTATTATTGTTCTTATATTATTATTCATCATCCCTCTTATTTGTTATTATTTATTATTCCACTCATTTATTATTTTTTACTAACCCTATTATTTATTATTCCTTTTATAATTTATTATTATTTATCAACCCTATTATTTTTATGTATTTTTTTTTATAATTCAGTTAATTGTGCTGTTTATGTAAATTAAACATCCAAAATTGTTTTATATCTCAGTAAACTTTTTTAGCGAAATTTGAAGGCGACGTTTGTAGACACAATTTTCCTCCTCCTCCTCCTCCTCCTCCTCCTCCTCCTCCTCCTCAGTGCTGCTAACTGGCTGAAGCCTCCCGATTTGGATCAGAAGAAGCGCCAAGCTCCTCGTTACCTGACTCGAGCCTACTGGCACAACAACAGCAGGAAGTTGCTGTTCCTGTGTCTGTACGCCTGCCTCAGCGTGCTGCTCTTCATCGGGGCCATGCTGCAGAACCGCCACGGCGGCGTCTGCTTCATGGTGGCGAAGGGCTGCGGACAGTGTCTCAACTTCAACTGCACCTTCGTCATGGTACGACACGGCTCAGAGCTGAAGCTGGAGGAGCTCACATGCTGCTCCAGTTTCCTGTCTGAGAACTTCATCATGATAAGAATTACATATTTTTAAAAACGAGTCCTGAGAGAAAATCATTATCAGCTAACAAGACTGAGAATAAGAGAAGCTTATCTTTGATTCTGTGAGAGGAAATAACATTAAAAAAAAACAGATAAATACAGAAAAATAAGTTGTGATTATTTTTAATGGATTTTAATGAAATATGTTGCGTTCAGGTGCTGATGCTGCGTCGCTGTCTGACGTGGCTGCGGGCGACGTGGGTGGTGAGGGTCCTACCTCTGGACCAGAACATCCTGCTGCATCAGATCGTGGGCTACGCCATCTTAATCTACACGGTGGTGCACACCACTGCTCACGTCCTCAACTTCAGTACAAACTCACTCTGTCTCTTCTTTAGCTTTGAGTTCATGTAATGATGGGAGAGTTTCATAAATGTTACCTCCTGAATATCATAACTCTCTTTTTATTTCACATGATTATCAGTTGACTACTTTGTTCTGCAGCAGGGGGTTATTTAGTTAAAAATGACCTTTGGTACAAGCACAGCAGCATGTTTTAATGATCAGCCGTGAGCAGTGAATGTAGTTGACACACAGCTGAAATATTGTTTGTGTCATGTGTTTCAGTGCGGATGGCAGAGAGCAGTGAGTACCACCTGTGGGAGTACCTGCTGACCACGCGGCCGGGGATCGGCTGGGTGAAGGGGACGGCCTCGGTGACAGGAGTCGTCCTTCAGGTGTTGATCAGCCTCATGGTGCTCTGCTCCAGCACCTTCGTACGACGCAGCGGACACTTTGAGGTAAAAGGAAACTAACCATGTTAGTATGTTTCCATGACAACAGGATGATGCTGTTGTCTGGGTCCAGAGTCAAACCTCTGAGTCTGCACTGTGCACCCAGCTGACGGGTTTCTCAGTTCGAAAAGCAGTAGATCCAGTGAGCGCTGCATGAAGACTTATCAAGTAGGGATTGCTCTTATTATCAGAGGAGTGGGGGGGGCTGGGGTCTAACTTTTTTTTTTTAATCTTGACCCTCCCTAAAAAGGCCCTTATAACCATTTTTTATGCATTAATATTCACACCAAATGCAGGTATTGGAGCCAGTGCAATGAGCGAAAAGCACAGGAAGATCATCACTGTATCCTATATGCTCAGTTTGGATGGCTCTCTTTAAAGTTTCTTAGACTTTTTCATTGGCATTCTCTTGTTTATAGAACTCTTCTTGACCTACTTCCACCATATTTATCTGTGTACATTAAGCAAAAAATGAAAATGGTTTTGCTGTCCGTTCTCATTTTATTGTCTCTACCGAGGGTACATACAGAGTTTGGGAGGTGAGCATGCAGTCACTAGTTCCTCTCGGCCGTTTCAAAGCTCTGTTGCAGGATTTTTGTACACAATCTTCTACACTCACCGACCACTTTATTAGGTACACCTTGCTAGTACCAGGTTGGACCCCTTTGCCTTCAGAACTACCTTAATTCTTGGTGTCATAGATTCAACAAGGTGCTGGAAAAATTCCTCAGAAATTTTGGTCCATACTGACATGATGACCTCACACAGTTGCCGGCCAGAATAATATCAGTAACTTATAATGATGGACGTAATTACAATTTAAAAACCTACCCTTTGATGTTAGAAAGTCAAAAGTCAGAACAAAGGAATACTTCTCACATCTATTTCCAAACAGGTGAGTAGGAGAGGGACGAGCAGAGCCCAATCAATAAGGACATTTATACAAAGTGTTTTTAAAGAGCGGCAACACACAAACATGTTTAAGTATCAGTTCAGTGGTGTTCATTATGTCTTCAGTTTCTGATAATCACTTCAGTTGTTCTTTTATCTCTTTTTAGGCTTCCTGACATTTTTCAGTGGAAACTTCCACCTTCCTCAGAAGTGTCACTTGGTGGTGGACGTGTAACAACCACCTCCAAGTGACACTTCTGAGGAAGGCGGTTATCTTTTAAAAGATTTCTGGTCTGTCAGAGCTGCTCACACGTCTGCAGAGTCTCAGTCTAACTATCAAAAATAATGATTTTAATGCTGCACCTAAATGTTGCAGCATTAAAATCATTATTTTTGCAAGTTAGACGATGTTGAAAGTTAAAAGTTGAAAATGAAATCCTGGAGTTAAGTTAGTTTTCACTGTTGTCATGAGAAGATTATTTTGGGGTTTTACTAGAAGGACTTTCAGACGTGTGAGCACGACACTTTAACATGTTGTCGTGTTAAGGCTCTTTGAAAACACTTTGTTTAAAAGTCCTCATGGATTGATTATCTCTGTATATAAAACAGTGATCTCTCCACCTCCACTCACACTCAGCATGTTTTTACACACACACACACACACACACACACACAGCTCAGTGTGTGTGAGCGGCTCCCTCTGCTGTCTGTGCTCACTTGTTACAATAATCTTCTTTTTTTATTATTATTATTATTATTATTATACTCATACTGTAATAATAATAATAATAATGATAATAATAATACACATAGTTATTAAGAAATAATTCATGAATATGTGAAGTAATAAAAGGGATGTAGTGACAAAATGAATGAAAATACATAAATATTCAGCTGTAGTATGAGGCTTGGGGGAGGTTGTTACACAGGTATATAGGTGCTGTTAATGAATGGAGTCCATTATGTTTTCCAAAGCTATTTGTCTTTCTATTGAAATGTACTGAGAGAGTAGATGATGCCACTGCAGTGTTGAGAGGTTGTTTCTGTCTTTACAGTTGTCTTTTTAGTGACTGTTAGGGCGACGAGTACGGGTTGTTCATGTTTTAGTGGCGGTTCAACTGGTGCGAGATCACGTAGCAGACACACAGACTGGAGCGCTGTGGTTTGTGGTTGAGGATATTTTGTGTGTTTTGTTTGTCCAGAATGTTTGAATCGGGGCAGCGGCAAAGCCAGGTGGCTTCAAAGTAGTTGTCAGTGGTGTTTGTGTAGTTTATATTGTGTCAGGTGAAACTGTGTAGAACTTTGTATTGAATATGGGTCATTCAGAAGATGTTATTGTCGATGTGCATCCAGGAGTTGATGTCAGAGGATATAATCTTCTGTTTTTATTCTCATTTGTTGTTTTATTGTCCGGACACTGATCTGAGAAACATTCAACATCAGAATCAGAACAAAACAAAAGTCTAAAAGAAACATCTCCATGTTTTTTGTCTGGAAAAGTAAAGCATGATGACATTAAATATTTCTAGCTGACCACTTCAATGATTCCACCCTCCATCTGTCAGGCACTTCATAGAGCTGCAGACAGCTTCCTGTCTCAGGCTGTGTGTTGTGTGTCCTCCAGGTGTTTTACTGGTCTCACCTGTCCTACGTGTTGGTCTGGGCTCTGCTGGTGGTTCACTGTGCAAACTTCTGGAAGTGGTTTGTGGCTCCTGGTTTGCTCTTCCTGCTGGAGAAGATCGTGGGAATCGCTGTCTCGCGCATGGGAGGTCTTTACATCGTCGAGGTCAACCTGCTGCCGTCAAAGGTAGGGATGCACCGGAGCGACTTTTTCAGACCCAATACAATACCTGGGTTTTGGGTATCGGCCGATACAAAGTACCTATCTGATACCACTGTTTATTTAATAAGTTGTCTGCCTCACTGTGAGAAAGTGACTAGGATCAGTTTTCATGTGTTCTTCTTCTGAAGTTTTAGAGTCCTCACAACACTTGCGGAGATCCCAGGGGAGAGGGGGTAGCAACACAACTCCACCTAATGGAGGCTTACGGCGCCCCAGATTCAAACCTCCCAAATCACATAATTGAAACCACAAAGTACCTCCATACTGCTTGTCCACAGTGATCCAAGTGTCCTGAAGCCCCGACATAAAAAGTTGTTTGGAAAAACGTCATTTGAACAGTGAGAGCTACAGGCTACAATGAGGCTAAAAACAGAGTTCAGATGATGTTCTTCCAAACAACTTTTTATGTCAGGGCTTCAGGACGCTTGGATCACTACGGACGAGCAGTATGGAGATATTTTGTGGTTTCAGTTATTTGTTTTTGGACGTTTGAATCTGGGGCGCCGTCAGCCTCCATTAGGTGGAGTTGTGCTGCTACCCCCTCTCCCCTGGGATCTCCGCAAGTGTTGTGAGGACTCTAAAACTTCACCTGAGCCTCCCTCGGCATATGGGTGAGTAGGTAATGGGTGAATTTTCATTTTTGGGTGCACTATCCCTTTAACTTCATCATCAGGTCAGAGATGGTTGATGTGGCTCTATCACAGCAGTGAGCTTTGTCCTCATCACATTAATGACAGCATGATGTAATGTATGAATGTGTGATGTCGTCTTTTCTGTTTCTGTGTGCAGGTGACTCACCTAGTGATCAAACGTCCTCAGTTCTTCCATTTCAAACCTGGAGATTACGTCTACATCAACATTCCCGTGATCGCCAAGTACGAGTGGCACCCGTTCACCATCAGCAGCGCTCCGGAACAGTCAGGTACGCCTCAGCTCTCACACAGTGGTGGAAAGTAACTAAGGGACTACTTCAGTATTTCCATCTTATATAGTGATACTGGGAAATATAAGGAAATATTGTACTTTTTTACTGCACTATATTTATCGGACAGCTTTAGTTACTTTAATACAAAATATAATCAATAATGAACAATGATGTATTATTACAGTCATTAAAATGAGTTCCACCTTTACCAGCTGCAACATTAAAGTGATGAACACATTAATGCATCAATAATCATAATCAAACAATATAGTATGTATTATTACGCATCATGAGTACTTTTAGCTTTAATACTTTTGTTTGATATACATTTTTAATTTCTCTTAACTATATGAGATTATTAGGACATGATACGTATAAAAAAACTAAGCTTTGTCTTTGAACAGTAAGAAGTACTGAAAACAAAAATGATGTCCTCATATCAAGGTGATGAAACAAGATGATCACTTTCCACCTCAGAAACATTCAACCATTTCTAAATGAAAAAGATGCAGAGACATTGATTCATGCCTTTATTGTGCATCTGCTGCTGGTTTAATGGAGGTTCCTAGCAACAGCTAGAAGAAGATCGCTGATGCAGCCTTTGTCAGTGACGCCCCAAAGCTATGGAGCACACTACCTATAGATATCAAGGAAGCTAGCTCGCTAAATATTTTTTAAAGAAAGCTAAAAACGTGTCTGTTCACTTTAGCCTTTAACTACCTCTGAATTTCCAGATACAGGTCTGAAACTCGTTCTTTTTACGCTTCACGCTGCTGCAACTCTTTTAAATTCTTACCTGATTTTATGAATCAGCTCTGTTTTATGTCCATTATGTCTGTTTTCATGTGAAGCACCCAGTGCTCATACTGCCCTTATTGTAAAGCAGTTTGTGCTGCATTTCTTGAATGAAAGGTGCTTTATAAATAAAGTTGTTTATTGTCATCATCATTATTATTATTATTATTATTATTATTACATGGGGACAATGGGTTTATTGTTAATAGTCTGTAATGAAGTGCGAAACTTTGTATTTAAGAACATTAATGTGCAAAAACAAATTTGCAAACAATGTAACAATTATTCATACTCAAAAGACAGGACCCAGAATGAGTGTTTTAAAGTGTTTCAGTGCTGTGACCTTTGACCTGCAGAGAGTCTGTGGCTTCACATCCGCTCGATGGGTCAGTGGACCAACCGCCTGTACGAGTACTTCAGAGAGTCAGACAGCGAGATGGTCAGCCCAAAGAGACTGGCCAACAGCCTGAGGAACCGGAGACAGCTGCTGACGGCCCAGGTTCAACACACACACACACACACACACACACACACACACAAACACACACACACACATACACACACTCACTGGCCGTCAGGTTTTCATGATATTTCTCTTTACAGGAGGAGCTGTTCAGCTCCACAAACAGTAACGGAGCCGTAGCTTATAACGAGGATGACGCCATCGAGCTTAAGATGTACCGTCAGAACGGCTTCGAGGCCGATGAGGCTCCGCCCTCCCCACATTCTGGATCTCAGGGCCTGGCGGAGCCTCTTCCAGATGGGCTGGAGCCGGCAGAGCGAGGAGAGGCTCCTCCACTCAGAGAGGTCCCGACACATGTCTTCATTTTATTAAAAAATATCACAGTTATTTAATCTTTTATCTGTTATTTCTGATGGCATATCAGGGCCACTGTGGGTAAAACAAATAAAAATATGGAGTCAGGGGAGAGGGGTAATATTCCGAGAAAAAAAACTATATATATATATTATTATATATTTTATGATTCGATTCTGAAATCAAAAGTATTTCCTTACAGCTAAATCCAATTGCAAAGATCAGTTTGATGAGGTCATCCACTGCAGGTGTAATGCACAGCAATTTTCAGCATCTGTGGTCTGATGAGGTTGTGATGCAAAGTTACTCAATGTGGTTCCTTGAAACAAAATAAAATAAAATAAAATAAAATAAACAATTTCTCTAAGATTTTTTCTAGTAAATTTGTGGCTGACATTTCAGAAAAAAGTTTTTCACACAAATTTTCCACTGTAATTTCAGAAATGTTTAGTTTTTTCTTAGATTACCCCCATATTAAAAAAAAAGATCAAATTTAACCTTCCATGTCTCTAATATGCTGACGTAATGATATGATATTAAATTGCAGGTTTCTGCCAAGTTTGGTGAGAATCACAGATTCTGCAACATCAAGGTGAGCAAATACAAACACAACATAACTGACTGACAAACTAGGGCTTCCCCACGCCTAAGAATTTTCCTAGTCAACCAATAGTTACCATTTAGGGTCATTAGTCGACTAGTCGCCCGCGTGTTTACGATATAAATTTAAATATTAAATGATATATTTTGGGTGGGGCAACACAATGGTTTGAGTTGAAGGTGTGAGAAAGAATAGTATCAGTAACATTGTTAACACTGTGCTACATTACAGAGAAATACAAAACCGTACTAATGAACCTTCATTAATATAGGCCTATATTTTATCTACAAGTGCACGTCACACACTGAGTGAGCCGCCTGTTAATGACGCTGTGGGCTAATGGGCATGTAGCTACTTCCATGTTTCATGATTTAATGGCTTAATTTAAAAAAGTCAACGGAGTTTGCTGATGTTTGAACAAATCCTCATAATATTATGGCCAAATTTTACGAAAGGCCATTGCACTTGTTTGGAACTGGTGGCGCCCCCTATTGACCGATTTCAAAATGATCAAACACACGTGGTTCATCTTTGTTATTTAATGTACCCTGCAAGTTTTGTCATGATTGGACAATTCATTTCTGATTTCTAGTTTGATTTGTGTTGTCCCATGCCCATTTTTTGCATGTGTAGTGCCCACTAGTGGTCAGCTTGAATAAAACTTTCAGGATAAGCTCCTGGTATGTGTTGCAGCCTTTTGGGCTTGAACCCCTAATTAAAAAGACGGTGGCCGTCATGGCTTTAAAAACTGTAAATCTACCTGAATGTGTGTTTTTTGACAGTATTGAGATGCAGTGTTCTCTGTGTGTGTCAGTGTTACGTAGACGGACCGTATGGGACTCCTACAAGACAGATCTTTGCCTCTGAGCATGCGGTCCTGATCGGGGCCGGTATCGGGATCACACCATTCGCCTCCATCCTGCAGAGCATCATGTACCGGTGAGATGCCAAATTCCTCTCGTTCCATCTGTTGCTTATCTGATTCGGTGATGGTATTTTATATTTATTTTATTCTTATTGTTCTTTTTATTTTCTTAAAATTGCCACATTTTTGTTGCTTGAATCCTGCATGGTTTTTTTTAAATCCGGGATCAACCATGTAAAGCACTTTGAAACTTTGTTTTGAAAATTGCTTTATAAACAATGTTTATTATTATTATTATTATTAATATTATTATTAATGCAGGCATTTTTAACTATTTTTTGACATTTAATTGACCAATTGATTCATCAGTTAATCGAGAAAATGAGGGACAGAGTTTGAGGACGGTTCTGTCACTTTTCTAAAATATTTTTGGGGCATTTAATGCTTTTATTATTGAGCAGTGGAGAGTTAAACTAATACCATTAACATACACCCAAACTATACAGCGTCTTTCTCCCAACATCCCTGAAATAAAGCTGACAGACATTTTTAGGAAAAGGGTGCCTGAGCTGGTCTGCATGAGGTCAGAGAGGCAAAGAATGAATATGGTTCAGGAGAAGAATATACACTGTGTATAAAACTATCTTCGTATGTGACCCAGCTGCAGCTGTGATGTTGTTTTCATGTTATACAGATACCGCATGAGGAAGCAAAACTGTCCGAACTGTAACTACTCCTGGTGTGAAAACATCAAAGACAGCGAGATGAAGTTACGCAAAGTAAGAAAACAGCACAGACTACATCATGTTGTAGTTTGATGAAACAATTGAGAAAATGTGAACGATGGTGGACGTGAGTCTGTTCTGGACCCTGCAGGTCGACTTCATCTGGATCAACAGAGATCAGAAGTCGTTTGAATGGTTTGTTAGTTTACTGACCAAACTGGAGATGGACCAGGCTGATGAGGAGCCAGAAGGTGGGAAAGAGTGAAATCAAACTTTATTTATGTCAATCAATATATAGATAAAAGAAAGATTGCCATCCTTTAGTCCAAAATGGTGCAATTTGAACCCGACCTTGAGAATATGAATTGGGATCAGTTCATAGAAATCATCATCATAGGCCACATCAAGTCTGTGCATGTTGCTCTTCCTATAGAAGCACCACAAGTGGGCACTGGGCAGTATACAGCGGAGTGCAAAGTGCTCCACAAAGAACGATCTTCACATCAACTGAACACATGCTATATTTACGAGTGTCAAGTTGTGCATACAACTTGACACTGTGGATATCTTCATAATCAGATAAATCTTTGACAGTATAATGGCCAAGATACGTAATCTCATTCACACTTTTAGAGCAACACCAGATAAAAAGAATTAAGGAAATACTAATTTTCTGTCTTCTTTACTTATAACAATCTGATGTTGCTTTTACTGGCGTTATATTTGATGTCAGAGTCTGCACCATAGTCAGAGCAAATTTTCAACAGCTGTTGTAGGCGGCACTATACGGGCAGAAAACTACCAAAACACCTACATACATAAGATGATTTATTAAAATATTGCCAACCATACACCCTGTGTTACATCCATTCAACTGTTGGGACAAGTCATCCATGTATACATTAAAAAGAAAAGGGGACTGAATGCCGCCCTGTCCAACTCCGGTACTTACATGAAATGATTCTGATACAGAGCATCCCCAGCTAACCTGCACAGACTGATGAGCATAATTATCCATTATCCATATCCCCTCTACGATGCAATTTATTGAGTAATTTCTCATGATTAATGCGATTGAAAGCCTCAGAGGCATCTATAAAGCACATGAGCATTGTGGAGTTCTGACGATTATATTTACCTAAAATTTCCTTTAAAGCAAAAATACACGTCAGTGTTGTGTTTACGCTTGAAACCAAACTGGGCCCCGTTTCCCAGAGCCTTCGTAGCGCTACATGCATCGTAAGTTGTATCTTAAGGTTTCCCTTAAGCTTATGGGTTGTTTCCCAGAGTCTCCTTAGTGAAGATATATCTTCTGAAAGGTATATCTTGAGAAGGGCGGTCTGAATCACTTGTAAGCTGTCCCTTAGTGATGCGCTCCGTTCGTACTGTCACAGTTTGAGCTTTATTAGGCCAAAATTATGCTTTTTAAATGGACAGTTGCAGTATAATTCACATCTAGACTACTTGCACAAAGTACATCATTAGTTTAAAATTAACTTCATGAAAAATAATAATGAATATTGTGAATATATAGGTTTATTTATTTTTTTATTGATTAATTCATTCGATTTAATTTTATTTTCCTGAAACTGCACCAAAATGCTCGTCTGGACAAAAAAGGCATAGCCTCATTTATGATATAATATTTGACGGAGGATCAAATTATTATGGCAATACTTTTTATATTATAACGTCATTTATTTGCCTTTATATGAGATCAATCGATGCGTGCAGCATCAATTAATACACTTTCAGCACCGTGGTGAAGAACAGCTCCAACTTAGGATGTACCTTAGCAGCTCTCCTTACCAGCACCCGCTAAGGGACAGTTTGGGAAACACTCATAGGAAAAGACGTTCCTTAGCTAAGGTACATCTTAGAGACCTTCGTAGAGCGCTAAGGTACATAGAAACTGGGAAACGCGGCCCTGGTTGTCAGCTGTAGTGATGTATTTTTCCAACCTTTCCAGGAGGATTCTCTCCAGCACTTTATGCCTGGTTCACACGACACGATATCAGCCAGATTATAGCCCGGCGCAGTGTTGTACGATGTCAGTATAGATCATGAACGACAATGAGTGTCGTACATGATAATCCATCATTTCATCTTGTGTAGTGTGTCAGAGTAGACAACAACTGACACTGCGCCTGGGATGTCTCAAGACATTCCAACAGAAAGTCTAGCATGTTTGATTTTATTTTGTCGTTCAAGACTTCTCCCGTCACAACCGTCTTTGACCAATAGAAACAGAGTGATCTGCTGCCGTAGACAACTGTACGACAACAACACCCCAGCCTTTTAGATGTTTCCTCTAGGGGTGTTACCACAACAGAGTAAAATGGGAAAAATAAGGGCGTGAAACAGCAGATGCACTTTATGAACCCGGTACTGCCATTAGCATCATGCTGTCATTTCAAACTCAACACTTACTGTATATGTTTCAAATTAAAAGCCCCTTATAACTTCGGTTGAGAGAATCCCTTCATTTTATGAAAAGGCTTTTATTGTGAAACATTTGCAGGAACTTGTGGAGGATTCAGTGACTTGCATAGTGTGCATGCGGTACTTCAAATGTAGCTCCTGTCATCTGGTGGCACTTTTTACGTGACTACAACAACATTTCAGCTGGCACATGAACAGACACAGTGACTGAAATAATAGTAAAAGTAATAAAAATAGGACAAGAATAACTTGATGACATCACACACGTCGTGAAAGACGACCAGAGATGATTGGTGTGGACCATTGTGTAGCGTGTCATGTCTGTCGGCCAAGTCACGGCACGATTTTAGGACTCCACAATCGCCTAATGTGACATAGTGACTTTCAGAACGGGCAGAAATGTTGTTTACTGTGAACCAGGCATGAGGCTATAGGCCTAAAATTTTCCATGCTATTTATTTTAATTTATAGCATGGCATTAATCATTAAATCAAAAACTATAACCAAAAATTACAGTACAGCACTCCTTTACTCCTCACTATGTTTTGTTTTTGTTGGTATACCTGTAACTTTAACTGTCATCATTTCTGTTGCACCATTTTTTCATAAGAAATTATTCATCAGTTTGGAATGAAAAACGGTTACGATGAAGCTCCGCCCATCATCTGAAACAAACAGGTTGAAACAAGAAACAAGTTGTTATTCTATCTCACTGAGACGACACACACACACACTCACAGAGAGACGGGCGGTGGGTTTCACCTTCAGACCAAAATCACTACTTCCCCAGAGAGAGGACATCTACAGGAGGGAATACTGGGAATACTGGAATACTGCCACTTCCACCAGCTGCTGACTTCACACGCTGAACAGAAGTTTTACAAGAGTGAAGACTCAAAGTGAAACTAAATTTCAGGAAACAGGGAGTGGCTGAGCTGTCTGCCTGCTGTGATTTCAGCCTCGCTCAGAGACGAAATGGCTTCAGGATTCATTGACCTCCACTGCCCTGTCTGTCTTGACATCTTTAAAGATCCTGTTGTCCTGTCATGTAGCCACAGCTTCTGTAGAGCCTGTCTGCAGAGCTGGTGGAGAGAGAAACGAACACGTGAGTGTCCAGATTGTAAGACAATATATTCAAAGGCAAATCCACCTTTAAACCTGACTTTAAAGATGCGATGTGAGGCATTCTTATTGGAGAGAGACCAGAGAGCTTCAGGGACTCTCTGCAGTCTGCACTCTGGGAAACTCAAACTCTTCTGTCTGGACCATCAGCAGCCAGTGTGTGTCATCTGCAGAGATTCAGATAAACACACCAACCACAGATTCAGACCCATCAATGAAGCTGCACAACCACACAGGGAGGAACTTCAGCAAACTCTGATGTCCTTAAAGTGAAAGTTACTCATTTCTGAACATGTTAAGGAGAAATGTGATAAAGCAGCAGAACACATTCAGGTCCAGGCCCGAAGCACAGAGAGGCAGATTAAGGAGCAGTTTGTGAAGCTTCACCAGTTCCTAGAGGAGGAAGAGGAGGCCAGGATGGCTGCACTGAAGGAGGAAGAGGAGCAGAAGAGTCAGATGATGAAGGAGAAGATGGAGGCTCTGAGCAGAGAGATAGCAGCTCTTTCAGACACAGTCAGAGCCACAGAGGAGGTGCTGAGTGCTGAAGACGTCTCATTCCTGCACAACTACAAGGCTGCAGTGGACAGAGTCCAGCAGCGCCCCCTGCTGGATGATCCACAGCTGCCCTCAGGAGCTCTGATAGACGAGGCCAAACACCTGGGCAACCTGACCTTCAACATCTGGAACAAGATGAAGGACATGGTCTCCTACACTCCTGTGATTCTGGACCCAAACTCCGCTTATCCATTTCTAACGCTGTCTGAAGATCTGACCAGTGTGACACCAGGAGAAGAACAGCAGCTTCCTGAAAATCCAGAGAGGATTGATGCTGACGACATGTATCACTCTGTCATGGGCTCTGAGGGCTTTAACTCAGGGACTCACAGTTGGGATGTCGAGGTTGGGGATAATCTACACTGGGGCCTTGGTGTGTTACCAGAGTCTGCCGATAGGAGAGGAGACTTTGTGGATGAATTATGGCCTCTGTGGTTCAATACATATGAATACTCAGCAATCGCTCCATCACGTACAACAGTTGATTTCCGATGTGAGAAAAAGGTTCAAAGGATCAGAATGACTCTAGATTTCGACAGAGGAAAATTGTCATTCTCCAATCCTGATACTAACACACACATATTCACCTTCAAACACACTTTCACTGAGAAACTGATTCCATTCATTGACACTACTTGTGAAGTGCCACTAAGGATTTTACCAGTAAATGTCCATGTGACTGTAGAAAAAATAGATGGTGGTGATGTTGATGCTGGTGATGATGATGATGATGATGATGATGATGACGTCTAAACTTTTGTCTACGTGGACATGCTACGCACCATTAGCTCGTTTAGATTCTCCGCAATTCAATTGTTCAGTTCATTTTACTGAGACCATGAGCACCAGGGCATACCATAATTCATTCAGATTAACCGGCCTGGTAAACATGAAAAATGAAATAGATCAAAGGTGGTGACTTCCTACCTCTGAGGCAGTTATGAAGTTCGAACATGTGTCCATTCCTCAACTACCCAATAAGTTATTCATTAAATCGATCAACAGAATCAAAAAGATTCGGCAAAAAAAAATAAAAAATCCAACTTGTGAATATTGTTTTAAGTGTTTTAGTGCTGGCTTAAAGCGAAGCAGAGCTGCACCCACTCTGAGCTGAATGCGCTCAAACTTTTAAGGGGTATTAGTGTAAGTGTACTGTGGTTTATATATAGTGGTTTGTCTATTGTAGCAGGTGTATTGTGGGATATGTGCTGTGGTATGTGGATTGTGGTTGATGTATTTTCTTGTTTATAGTGTTTTGTGGTGTATGATGTTTTAAACTGTATATTTTTAATAACATTTTAGGACTTCATGTAAAAGCCCAGAGTTGAAAATTAGCAACAGCTATAAACTCTGTGTGCAACACATCAGTCCCTCTATACTCTGTACTCTAGTACTGGAACTATGTTAAATGGCATCGTCCCTATCAAATAAAAAATAAATTGATAAATAAGAAGATATAGACTGGTGTTGTGTCGTTATCCTTTGGTGCGGTAAAACCACCATTGTGACTCTCTCTGTCTGTCTCTCTGTCTGTCGCAGTTAGATTAAATGAACAATTCTTGATAGATAGATAGATAGATAGATAGATAGATAGTACTTTATTGATCCCAAACTGGGAAATTCTTATGTTACAGCTGCAAGTAATTAATCAGTATGTGAACAGTACACGAAGACAAAAACAGATCAAAATAAATTATATGAGAATGTGGAAATATAAATTATATACAAAAATAAGTGCTAAATTTAAAATATACAAGAGAACTATACAGTAATAAAATAAAGATTTTAAAACTGCAAGAGTAAAAAAATGAGATCAATTATATACACACCACAGTGAGAAGTGAGGTAGATGTTGTAAAAACTGTGCAAAATAGCTAACAAGTGTGCAATTAGGTATGACCAGCAGTGCAAACAAATGGTTGGAAATTGGTTTGAATGTTATTCGAAAGCTTATTTTCTACACAAGTAATATTCATACTGTTTTTATTAAACAATTTAAATTGTATTTACCATCTTTGCTGAGCAACAGTTTGTGTGAAAGGAATTAAAAACTTGTCCCTTATAGACACCTGTTCCAAATGTTTACCGGTTAAGTTCAGTGATTGAAGCTAATTAAATTTCCCCCTTGGAGACTAATAAAGTATATAAAAAAATAAAGAAAAAAATAAAAAAAATACTGATTGCATTTGTTGGAAACGCTGCTTAACTCAATATCATTGTGGCTCAATAATGATCGAGGGTCACAGAAAACAAATTCGACATCCACAGTCACACAGTATTCTCTCAAGAAAATCAGGATTCTATTCAGACAGAAATAAAACCTGTGTTAAACTGTTTTCTGTCAGGCCGGTTCCTGGAGATGCACATGTACATGACGTCAGCTCTCAGTAAGAACGACATGAAGGCCATCGGCCTGCAAATGGCGATGGACCTGCTGGCCAAGAAGGAGAAGAGAGACTCCATCACCGGACTGAGGACCAGAACCCAACCTGGACGCCCTGAGTGGGGGAAGGTGAGGACACTCTGTCATGTGGTGAGCTGAAGACAGTTAATGTGGTGATCATAATTAAACAGAAGAGTATCAATGTGCAATGTTCCATATATATCATGTAGTCTAGGGCTGCCACTAATGGTTATTTCAATTATTGATTCATCTATACATTTCTTTAATTAACTGATTAATCCTTTAGTTAATAAAATATCAGGAAATAGTGACACAAGCTGACGTCTTTAAATGTTCTGTTTTGTCTAGCAGGTTAAACTTAAACCTGCCACAGACAGTTTTTAGTAAGGTTTAACTTAAACCTGCTGCAGACCCGCATTAACTGAGGTTATCAACTAATCAACAGTCACGAGTGCGTTCATGTGAAAGAGGCGGGGGTGTTAATCACGAGTGACATCATCAGAACCATGAATGAAGTAAGCTGCTTCATATGATATGTGATGAAACAGTACCTAAAGTGTGTATGACTGCAAGACACTACAATATAAGTGGCGTGGGTAGTAAATGATAGTCTATACTGTTATTACGGAAAATGTTGAAACATTAAAAATACCATACAAAAATTCATCATTGGCCGAGGTTTAAATTACATGTAGTTATCACTGAGCTATATGTGACATTTGACGACATACTATACTATGATTTTTTTCCCCGCAATTTTTGATGACGTACTTGCTATGGCTTTTTTTCGCAGTTTTTGACGACATAATATTCTATGACTTTTTTGCGTGATTTTTGATGACATACTATACTATGACGTTGTTTTGTGATTTTTGATGACATGGTATAATATGACATTTTTCTGCAATTTTTGACGACATACTATTCTATGAAGTTTTTTGTGATATTTGACGACATACTATACTATGACATTTTTTTACGCAATTTTTAACGACATACTATACCTTGATTTTTTTTTGCAATTTTTGACGACATACTATTGTATGATTTTTTCCCCTGCAATTTTTGACAATATACTATTCTGACTTTTTTTTAGCAATTTTTGATGACATACTATTATATGATTTTTTTTTACACAATTTTTGATTACATACTACGACGTTTCATGATTTTTGATAACATACTATGCTATGACTTTTTTTTTGCAATTTTTGACGACATACTATTCTGACTTTTTTTTCTGCAATTTTTGATGACATACAACATTTTTACCCGATTTTTTAAACAACGTACGTTTTTTTTCTCCACAATTTTTAGCAACAAACAATACTATGAAGTTTTTTCACAATTTTTGACAACAAACTTTAGTAAGCTATAGTAAATCCAACAGAACATTAGTTATTTATGTCTAATAGTGCAGAATGTTGTAATAATTGAATGTACACTATTTTACTATTTCATGTTACTATCGTAGAGGTGAGGCCTACTATCGTGTTTGTCCCTCATCGATTTGAGCCTTTAAAGAGGGGGTGCACTTAAATATATAAAATATCAATAACATAAATATAAATGTGTATGACTTCTTTGTGTCTATGAAGCACGTTGGTCATATTTTCTTTTCACCAGCGGTTGTTAAGTCTCCAGGTCTCTAATGAATCAGGTGATGTGTTTGTGTGTGTGTCAGGTGTTTCAGAAGGTGTCGGAGGAGAATAAAGGGAAAGTCCACGTGTTTTACTGCGGCGCTCCTGCTCTGGCTAAAGTCATCAAAGCTCAGTGTGAACACTTCAGCTTCAACTTCTACAAGGAGAACTTCTGAGGTCACCTGCTGTTCAACACACAACTCCTGCTGCGTCTCCCTGTGTGTGTGTGTGTGTGTGTGTGTGTGTGTGTGTGTGTGTGTGTGTGGGGGTGCGCACCATTGCTTTGTACCCTGGTTTTTTTTTTTTCTCCCAGCAGCTCCATGACGACCGTCTGTGTTGTGTTTCCTGCCTGTTTGTTGGACAGTAGAAGAATACTCATCATGTTCATCTGTCATCATAAACATAAAGTACCTGTGTCGATGTTGTGATGACTCACTCATGTCTGAATGTAGCAAATTAATCAGGTAATAAATAATAATAATAATTATTATTAAAGGATAATTCCCTCTGATCTCTTCACTGATCCAGTCAGTCTTCATCACATCACAATTCATCACATTTCAGGTGGTGTTAATTTAATATTTGTGGAACCTTCTCGACTGTGTGTACTCAGTCCTTTCCTACATTTCCCAGAGTGCATCTCAGAAATCCACAGGGAGGCAGCTCTCTGTGATATTATAATGGTTCATATATGTGAGCCACCACAGGAGTAAGATCGTAACTTGTACGTTACCATTACCTTACCGTTTTCAGGCTGTACATCCGTCTGTCCCATTCTTGTGATTGCAATATCACATGAGCGCCTCAGGAGAATTTTTTCAAATTTGGCACAAACATCCACTTGGACTCAGCAACAAAATTAATAAATTTTGGCAGTCAAAGGTCAAGGTCACTGTGACCTTGCATCTGTCTCATTCTCGTGAATGAGATTTCTCAAGAAAGCCTCGGGAGTTTCCTCAAGTTTGGCACAAACGCCCACTTGAACTAAATTTGGTGGTCAAAGGTCACTGTGACCTTGCAAAACACGTTTATGGCCATAACTCAAGAATATATATGCTAATTATGACAAAATTCCACACAAATGTCTAATAGGATGTAATAATAATAATAATAATGATAATAATAATGAAGTGACGACAGTTTATAACTAAATGGTGATTTAGGGCCACCAGTGCTGCACCTAGTTTTGTTTTGGCAAGGTTCTGGAAACATCAATAAGTCCAAACTGGTAGATAAAATTTCTGCACAATTACATCTATGCAGTGTTTCACTTAACTCTTGAGCTATCAGTCTATTTGACCTTCATTTTATAGATTCAGCACAGTAAAGATATATATTTTATCCTTAATATCTTTAGTACTAGTGTTAAACATTGTAGCATAATACACATTTTTATTTTTATGTTATTGCTTTTTTACATACTTTCATTTCATACTCTCCTTACTTTTTAGAATTAGCTATTCTTTACATCAGAGTGACTAATTAATCACAATATCCCCTTGGGGATCAATAAAGTATTTCTGATTCTGATTCTGATCAGAGCATCCAAAAGGTCAAAGGCCATCTTCACTGTGGCATCATAATCACTGTGGGGGAGTTTAAGTTGATTTTAAAGGATTGAGAAATTTGCTCTTTTAGTCAATGTGACTGTTCCTAAATCATTTTAGAAATTGTACTCAAATCATATTTATTCTTGTCCTGACCTTGTATCTTGTGTTAATTGCATACTGTGGTTTTTAATCATTTGTTGTGTGTGACAGTTGTATATGTCTGTCTTGTAACAATGTTTTATGCTGCCCTCTTGGCCAGGTCACTCTTGAAAAGCAGATTTTTAATCTCAATGAGGCTTTTATCTGGTTAAATAAAGGATTTATATAATGTTACGCAAAAAAACGCTTTTCTGGCCATTACTCAACATCATATCACAGGAACAGAAAGGGAAGACATTTGGTCAGATACTGAATTGGTGACACTAATTTTGGGTGTCCACCTTGAGCATGCAGCTTATTTGCAGCAACATCCATACTGGACGCATTGTCAGCTGTCATGACAACATATGAGTCTGGACTGCGACTATAATTTGACGAGATATATGCATACACGCACACACACACATATGTGTGTGTATATATATATATATATATATATATATATGAGTCTGATAACGCTGTTCATCCCAAAGGGTGATGAGTGCAAATCTATAGAATGCAATAAAAGTAAAATAATAACATAAAAAGCTATCAGTAAGGTGCAAAACTTTTGGCTACACAATGCCAGAAAATGTAAACAGGTTAACCATTAATTAAACCGGTCTTTTATATTTGGATAACAGTATTAATAGATTGGTTGATTGTCCTCTCCATTTTTGTTTCGTGAAAGTTAATGTTTAAGTTATTTTTTTAGGTCAGAGTGATTGAGCATATTAGTAAATGCTTTCTAAATTATTAGAATAATGAATGAAACCAGTTTTATTTATTCAATAAAATAAAATAATTGACCCACATTCATAAAGCAACTATTTCCAGGGTTACTAGTCGATGTAAGAGTTGCCTCTTTCTGGTGCAATTATGGTGTTTACCACCCAGCGGATTGAATAGCATAAGTATATCAAGAGAATGTAAATATCTTTAGAAGTAGTAAAAGTATTTTTTTTTTCATCTGGTGACTGGATTACATCATAAAAACACTGATTTTGATGAATGGACGTTTGTATAAGGAGCGTTCGATTAGTTGTAATCGGCGCTCTGTTGATAAGCCTGTGAATGTGTGTGTATGTGTGGATAGCTAGCTAGCAGTTAGCTAGTTACGCAGTAGCAGACTCGCATCGGGCAGCTAGTCAAACATTGGACCAATGCCTTAGAAAACATTTTTCCTTTGCATCCCTTAGATGATCAGAATGATGTCCATTGCTTTTAGTGGACACGCGTCTTTAGAATAACCGCAGATCACCGATGTTAGCGATAGATAGATTTATTATTTGCGGCGGCCACATTTTCCGTTTTTGGCCGAGCTAGCTAACTAGCTAGCATAGCTGCTATTAGCTTGTTAGCATCGCCTGTGATGGCACAGCCGGAGAGCGAGTCGGTAACGGAAGGTAGGCCATACAGTTCGATTTTATTCATTCTTTCACATCACCATCGTTGAAATGTTGAACGTTATTAATGTATTCGTGTTTGTATGTTAACGCTAATCTTATTTAAACCCCAAATAACTTCATTTTCCCGATGGTTGGCTCGTATCCGGAAAGCCAATTTAGCTCTTTGGTTAGCTGCATCAGAACAGGGTTAAAAGGCGAGCTAACACCGCCTAAATGTCCTTTTAGGGGGTTGTTAATGTTTCTGTTAAAAGTAACGTTTAGCTGGGTGTTGTCATGGTAGCCACAATACAAACTGTGGAGCCTTATAAAGGCTAACATTATAAAACTGCTGTCAGAAACATACTGGCATCTGTTTGTTCGTCATGTATAACGTTACTACTGAGAAGGCTAACTGTATTTATTTTGGTGTGTCTTTCATCAAAAATTGTTTATATATATATATCTGTTTTTATGTGTCATTAATCACGCGCACAAGTCAGATCATTACAAAGATATATTTAGTCAGATGGTGTATAGTAATAAGCTGCTCATTCATTTAGTAAAGGTCAAAGAGAATTATTTTAAGTATTAATTATTGGTATCAAGGCAAAGGTGGAGATCCTGTACTGCTGTAAAAGTAGTAATGTCACAGTGTTAAAATACTGTGATAGATTTGTGTCAATATTATTTGTGTGAACAGATTGACAATCAGTGTATTAATGTGTAGTCTTTGAATATGAAACACCCTCCACATATACACAAAAACATTTGCAAACTCTAAAAACTATGATGCAAATGTAAAACAGTTCTACAAATATGGAACTTACAAAACTATTTTGCAAATATATAACAGATCTGTTAATGAACAAACAAAAATACAAAACAAAACGACTGTAAATCGGTAAACGTAGAATTGTGATTCACAAAATAACAATTTATCGATTGAAAGTTATTTATGTTATGAAGTATTCGCATATGTTTTTCATTTATTTGTAAATGAATTGTTTGCTCAGATATTTTCTTTTTTTATGTTGTGGAAGGTGTTAAATATTTACAGATTAACGCATTAACACACGGATTGGCGATCTGTTCACACAAACAATACTGAGACATCTCCATCGCTGTCTAAGTAGATGTACTAGTATCACACAGTAAAATACTCTGTTACAAGTGAAAGCTCTGCACTGAAAATGTTCATTCAGTAAAAGTATATAATCAGTAAAATGTAGTTAAAGTATTAAAAGTATTATAAAGTCCCTTGTGACTCATGCATTAATGTAAAAACAGGATTTTACTGTTGAAGTGGAGCTTGTTTTGAACAATTAACTAATTATTATTTTCATTATGGATCAATCTGCTGATTATTTTCTCCATCAATCGATTGATTTTAGGGGTGGGGGAAATAATCTATACAGCATAGTATTGCAATATTTTCGTGTGGCAGTGTTATATTGTCACATACAGTACAGGCCAAAAGTTTGGACACACCTTCTCATTCAATGTGTTTTCTTTATTTTCATGACTATTTACATTGTAGATTCTCACTGAAGGCATCAAAACTATGAATGAACACATGTGGAGTTATGTACTTAACAAAAAAAGGTGAAATAACTGAAAACATGTTTTATATTCTAGTTTCTTCAAAATAGACACCCTTTGCTCTGATTACTGCTTTGCACACTCTTGGCATTCTCTCCATGAGCTTCAAGAGGTAGTCACCTGAAATGGTTTCCACTTCACAGGTGTGCCTTATCAGGGTTAATTAGTGGAATTTCTTGCTTTATCAATGGGGTTGGGACCATCAGTTGTGTTGTGCAGAAGTCAGGTTAATACACAGCCGACAGCCCTATTGGACAACTGTTAAAATTCCTATTATGGCAAGAACCAATCAGCTAACTAAAGAAAAACCAGTGGCCATCATTACTTTAAGAAATGAAGGTCAGTCAGTCCGGAAAATTGCAAAAACTTTAAATGTGTCTCCAAGTAGAGTTGCAAAAACCATCAAGCGCTACAACGAAACTGGCACACATGAGGACCGACCCAGGAAAGGAAGACCAAGAGTCACCTCTGCTTCTGAGGATAAGTTCATCCGAGTCACCAGCCTCAGAAATGGCAAGTTAACAGCAGCTCAGATCAGAGACCAGATGAATGCCACACAGAGTTCTAGCAGCAGACCCATCTCTAGAACAACTGTTAAGAGGAGACTGCGCGAATCAGGCCTTCATGGTCAAATAGCTGCTAGGAAACCACTGCTAAGGAGAGGCAACAAGCAGAAGAGATTTGTTTGGGCCAAGAAACACAAGGAATGGACATTAGACCAGTGGAAATCTGTGCTTTGGTCTGATGAGTCCAAATTTGAGATCTTTGGTTCCAACCGCCGTGTCTTTGTGAGACGCAGAAAAGGTGAACGGATGGATTCCACATGCCTGGTTCCCACTGTGAAGCATGGAGGAGGAGGTGTGATGGTGTGGGGGTGTTTTGCTGGTGACACTGTTGGGGATTTATTCAAAATTGAAGGCACACTGAACCAGCATGGCTACCACAGCATCCTGCAGCGACATGCCATCCCATCCGGTTTGCGTTTAGTTGGACGATCATTTATTTTTCAACAGGACAATGACCCCAAACACACCTCCAGGCTGTGTAAGGGCTATTTGACCAAGAAGGAGAGTGATGGAGTGCTGCGGCAGATGACCTGGCCTCCACAGTCACCGGACCTGAACCCAATCGAGATGGTTTGGGGTGAGCTGGACCGCAGAGTGAAGGCAAAGGGGCCAACAAGTGCTAAACACCTCTGGGAACTCCTTCAAGACTGTTGGAAAACCATTTCAGGTGACTACCTCTTGAAGCTCATGGAGAGAATGCCAAGAGTGTGCAAAGCAGTAATCAGAGCAAAGGGTGGCTATTTTGAAGAAACTAGAATATAAAACATGTTTTCAGTTATTTCACCTTTTTTTGTTAAGTACATAACTCCACATGTGTTCATTCATAGTTTTGATGCCTTCAGTGAGAATCTACAATGTAAATAGTCATGAAAATAAAGAAAACGCATTGAATGAGAAGGTGTGTCCAAACTTTTGGCCTGTACTGTAGATGCTAAGTTAAGTTATAAATATTACAAATTAAGTTATGGTAGCCTACTAGCCTAATTGTTTGGTTTGTAAAATTTGTATGAAAAAAAAAACAACAGTCACATTCACCGAGTCAACTGTCGAAAATCTTTGGATGTTTGACAGAAGACAAAGAAAAGCAGAAATCATCACAAATAATCAGATGGAACTGACTCAATAAGTTAGCAAAAAAAGTTGCTATAAAGTAGAGCTGCAACAATTACCCCGTTAATTGATTAGTCAACTGACAAAATAATGAATCACTAACTCTTCTGATAATCAGTAGTTTAAATTATTTATCAGTTAAAAATGTCAGACATTTGCAGTTTACATCTTCTTCCAATGTAAGGACTTTTTTTCTGTTTTATATCTAGGCAGCACTTTCTGTTGATTTTAAATATCTTTCTTGTATTCTATGTTTTATGTTTTGTTTTGATTGTTCAAACTGTGATGGATGTTTTGACTCTCGACTGCAAAACTAGTTTACCCTTGGGTATCAATAAAGTAACCTGAACCTAGGGCTGTGCAATTAATCGAATTTTGATCGTGATTTCAATTTTGGCTCCAGACAATCTCAAAATTAATGTAATCGTGGAAAAACGATTATTTTTTGTGTCTTGTTGTTTTTTATCTAGTACTTGTTTTCAAGAGATTGAGCGCACTACAATAGTTGATGTTATATATCTTTTTTTTTACTACTTTTATGTATTTTTATTTTAAGGATACCTCAAAACATTTGATGGGACAGTGTTTTTAAAAAAAGAAATGTTCAATAAATGCATTCAAGACATAATTGTGTAAATAATCGTGATTTCAATATTGGCCAAAATAATCATGATTATGATTTTTTCCATAATCGAGCAGCCCTACCTGAACCTGAACCCGAGGGCTCCATAATATGTAAAAAAAAAAAAAAATCATACTGCAATTATTTTGACAGATTCTAATAACAATATGAGTTGTGATTTTAGTGGGCATAGCAGATTTTGCATTTTATTTTCACTGAAAAAAAAATATAGATATGATGATGTTATTTTAGCTGGGTATCTCTTCCAAACAAGCATGTTCCTTCAGGATGCATGGTGTTGGATTTTTGGCCGATATCTGACATGCTGATATGTAACAACTCACCGATATCAATATCCACCTTTTTCCCCACCTAATTGTAGTGATCATCAAGTCTCTTCTGTGGTGGAATTAACATCATATTATGCATGCATACTCACCACCAGTAGATGGAGACACGAAATACAATACTTTTCAATGTATGTAATATTCATTCATTGTGCAAATTAAGAAAAAGCATGTTGGCCAATCTGATGACATGTCGATATTATTATGCATCCCTAATATTCCTTTATGACTGAAATGTGGTTTGTAGTCCAGGGCATCTCTTGAGCATCGCTACGCCTCATTAATAATGGCATGTTGTGACAAATTAAACCTGCTTCTGTGATTTGGATATTGCACTGGTAATTTCAATAATAATCTGATTAATTGCTCAGCCCACACACAAAAATGTAACATCTCTGGGTTTTGAACAGCTGACCAAACAAAAGAAGACGCCATCATGGACTGTCGCTATTTTCTGAGATCTGATCAGCCAAAAATCATTCAGTTAATCAAACAGATTAATAGATACAATGAGTCATTGTAGGCTGCAGCCCTAAAGTAAACCCTTGTTGAATCACATTCTTGTGAAGGCGGCTTTGGTGTTTTTTCCTACACTTTATTTATCTTAGTGAAAGTTGATTGAACTCCTTCCTGCTCTCAGTCCAACTCTCCTCCACATTCATACCGTTCCAAACAATTCAAAACATTCACAGTGGGAAGTGAGCAGTGTGAGCGCAGAGCTCCTCTGCTCATCCGCTGGAGCAGGTGGGATCAAGGACGGCCTGATGGAGGCTG